ATTTTTCTTTGCAAGGCAATAACAAGGTCAACTGTGGTTCTGAGCTTCAAAAGGAACTGGAAGGCAAAATATAACGAAGGAAAGAGATGCATTTCACGCTGCAGGGTATTCGCTTTGATCAACTTCAGAAATATTATATCTACTCAGGGGATATTTTTTCAGGCTCCTACTATCACCAAGGAGGTCAGAGATGCCCAGGGTTACTGTGGGCCCTAGGTTATTCTTTCTGTCTTATTAGCAAAGTAAAGGCCACCTCAGACGCTGCCAAATAAACAGTGGGGCTCTTTGCCTAAACCCTTAGGTATACACAAGGTGGTACAATGATGAGAAGGACTGGGAGTAGAGCCCTTGGGCCTGGAGGTAACCCTGGGAATGGGACCTACATTTTTTTCGGCTTAGATTTTTTCATCAGTACAATGGCAACAGTGGTGGGATCTACCTCACAAGACTGTTGTAATGCTCAAATATACTGGCAAAACGCTTGGAGCAATATCTGACATAGAATAAGTGCTTAAGTTAGCAATTATTGTTGTGACAAGTGCTCCTGGTCCCAAAGAAATAAATAAAAAAATGATGACAATGATCAATGATATTACTATTAAGTAAAAAGCCTTGTGGGCTTTTCTTCCCCCTGCCCTGTTCAGATGCAGGCTGGCAGCAGTCTCTGGTTGGGAAACCGACCTGATAGACGTGATGAGACTCTTGATGGAGTCGGACACAGTATGCGAATGCCCAGCCAGCACAGACCAGGTAGGCGGGTCTTTGGGGTTGATGGCCAGAGAGCGTGCAGTGCGAATGAGGTATGATGAACTCTCCAGCATGGTCTTGGCTGAGACCAGGATTGGTTCTTGTGCCTGAGAACCCTAAGACCAAACAGCAAAGGAGAAAGGTCAGGGTACACGGATATGAGTGAATGAGTCGGGCCCTGGAAGGTCCTGTTCTTTACCAAGTCACTGCCTCTGCCCTTTGGAAGGAGACACAGAGGGCAGGGAACCCTGGAAACCAGTTCACACAGGGTCTGGATGGTGGGACTTGAATTCGTGTTTGCTTCTTAATTCACATTTTTTAAGTATAACACATTCTAAGAAAGAATGGGCCTGAGTCTGTGCAGGGAGATTGTTCTCAACATACAAGGCTAAGAGATTATCCCTCAAGAGATGTGTAGTCATTAAGTTTTACCAGCTTGGTGCATGTAACATCACTGACAGCAGCAATACTCTAGGTGTTGACAGAGAGAGCTTTTTAAATTTTAACTATTAATGCTCATTCAGTGCCACACGAAATCAGCCAAAGACTTCAGTATTATCTTTGCTGCCGAATCTCCCTACCTCGGAGCTGATCTGGGCAGGAATGCTCACAAACTCAGGATTTGATGCGAATGCCGTCAAGTTCTCCACAGCTTCGATCAAGGGTGCAGTGGCAACGCGACACTTATTGCGGTTGTCTTCAGAGAAATCCCCATCCAGGGCCTGATGGGAGAAAATGCAGAGATTGTTTTACCTCACTGAGAAGCACAAAGCATTCTTGAACCACAGCAATCACCTTCCAGTGAAAGAAGGTGGCTCAGCGGGAATATTGAAATGCTTGGCAAATTCACAAACAATAAATAAGCACTGAGAGTCTCCTGCCATCACATCAAGGGCCCTGTTACCAAATGTTAAGTAGAACCTGTCATGCCGGCACTTTGGGAGGAGCAGGCAAGAGGATTGCCAGAGCCCAGAGGTTCGGGATCAGCCTGGGCAACTTGGCAAGACCTCATCTCTACAATAATAATAAAAAATTAGCTGGGTGTGGTGGTACGTGTCTGTGGCTCCAGCCACTTGGAAGGCTGAGGTGGAAGGATCACCTGAGCCCAGTAGGTCGAGGTGACAGAGTGAGCTTTACAAATTTTAACTATTAATGCTCATTCAGAGCCACACAAAATCAGCCAATGATGGACTTCACAGCAAACTGGATGGATTTAGGACCCATCATATTCAGTGATCTATCACAGAAACAAAGAACTGAATACCACATATTCTGACAATGCTACAAGGGAGGGATCGGCAGCCTCCGGACACTGCGGGGGGGCAGGGGGGGGCATATGTCATCACAAAGAGCACTTGATTCTAAACCAAGGGAAGTGAGGACCAATTGGAGGCCCAAACGCCACCTACACCTAGACTACTCATGTACCTAATCCTGACTTGTACCCCGCATCTCAATAATAAAATAGAGAGAGAAAAGGAAAAAAAAAGTCGAGCTGAATGTGAAGCTCACAGGACAGCAAGTCTCACAGTCAGCTTCCACACACAGGTAGCAGGACTACAAATCCAAACAGACCCTTCCCTTCTCTCGTTGGGAGGCCCTATGCCTTACCTTGCAGCTGAACCACTTTAGTCCCCACTTTTGAGACCACTGACTTTGGGCTCATGGCCTCCATTTTCACTCCAATTATGTCTATTCTCTCCCAAATTATAAACATACTTCATTGTATTTCAGAGAAATACTTTTAACTTTTCCTAAATTTTATCTGGATGTCCCTGAACCACCACTTTGCAATGAACACAATGGAACCCAACAGGAAGGAATGGACTAGAACTACCCTCACCCAAGCAGACAAATCTCACAAAAATAACATCTATTTAGTTAAAGAGGCCAGGCACAAAAGCATACCTATTGTTCGATTCCATTTGGGCAAGGGACAAAAACCTAATTGAGGGTGCTAGAAGCCAGGTCACTCTCTGGTTTAGGTGAGACTAAAGGGAGCACAGAAGGGGCTTCTAGGTGCCGACGACGTTCTGTTTCTTGATCTGGCTCTAGTTACCTAGGTATGTTCAGCTTGAGAAAATTCATTGAGTTCTACATAGGATGTATGGTTTTTCTCTATGTACCTTATGCTTCATAATTTTAAAAAAAACCAGCAGGAGGCAGAACAAGGGCTTTGAGCGATCAGTGCTGATGAATGGTCTGGGTGGATGAGAATCCAGGAATGTGGCCTGTGACCCATGCCAGGCAGGGATGACACTTGAATCTGTGACTCCCCGACCCCATGTGCCTCCTCAAGAACGAGACTGTTAGAACCAACAGTATGAGATCCAGTGACAGCCCTCCTGCCTCCCAGCGAAAGGTTACACTGGAGAAGACAGCTATGTTTGCAGAAGAATGCAAATTTCCTTGTTAAACGACCAATTAAACGTTTAATTTGACCCTTATGAGCAATATATGAAAGGAAATTTAGACAATTAGGAAGAACAACAACAAAAAAAAATAGGGGCACCAGCACTTCAAAGCAAACTGGATCTGAGGTGGGAGCATTTCTGTTTTTCAATAAGGCAAGAGCTAGGTGTGGTCGGTTTAAAGGTGATTCCAAATAACAACTACATTCCAATCAAGCCCTGGAAGCTTGGGACGATAATTACACAACCACAATGCTAATATTTTTAGAGGAATTCCCACAAGCCTGGCTAATTTACCGTCTTGACTAATGTAGTACCTGGTTCTCCTTGGCACGTGCCCTTCCCCACCAGGCAGGCACTGACCCTACCTGCACTTCTCCGATGCCGCCATTCTTCCAGGCCCAATGGGAACCCTACATGGCTGGGACATTTTGCTCACATACACAGACTCATTTCTAACTGCCACTATGTCCTTAGGAAGTGATGTTGGACAACAATGGCCTGGCAACATAGAAGTGAAGTATCTTGGCACATGTATCTTATTACGCTGATAACATCACTGATTCCTGGAGGTTGGATCTACCAGGCTTCAGAGCAATTCTAGAATGCTAGTGCGAGGCAGGGTAGTGACACCCAGAAGAGTCTGACATAAGTGGCCCCAAAACAGGCAAAGACATGAAGCAAGCCGATTGCAAGCGTGGACTTAGGAGTCAAAGGAATTCAGGTTCCAGCCCCACTAGGGGCTGCTTGGCCTCCGCCAATCACACCCCGTAGGCAGGGAGGACACGGCTTCTAGCTCAGCTTAGGAGGCTGAGCCTTCCCTCAGGGCTGCTCACCTTCCCGCTCCTTACTTCTCCACACTCCCTCCCCTTTTCTACTCCCACAAGTCTCTTGGTCTGCTAGGAAGACGGGCACCTAATCAAGTCACCAAGCCTCAGTTGAATCTTTTCTAAGTGAAAAGATGACACTCAAGGCAAGTCTTAAGGAATGGTTTCCCAAGTGCACAGTTTCATGGACTGCACTATATCACACGCCCATTGCTACGCACAGGACAGAGTCTTGAATGACATAGACTAGAATGCCAAGAGATATAAACCCCAGTCAAAAGAAGATCAAGGGTATCCAAATAGGAAAAGAGGAGGTCAAATTATCCCTCTTTGAAGACAATATGATTCTATACCTTGAAAACCCAAGAGAATCTGTCAAAAACCTCCTTGCACTGATAAAGGACGTTGGCAAAGTCTCAGGGTATAAAATCAATGTGCAAAAGACAGTCACATTTCTATACACCAGCAATAAACAAACAGAAACCCAAATAAAAAGCACAACCCCATTTACAATAGCCACAAAAAAAAAAATCAAATAGCTTGGCATCTTCCTAACCAGAGCCGTGAAAGATTTTTACAGTGAGAACTACAAAACATTGCTCAAAGAAATCAAAGATGATACAAACAAATGGAAAAATATTCCATGGTCATGAAGAATCAGCACTGTTAAGATGTTCATCCTACCCAAGGCAATCTACAGATTTAACACAATATCCATTAAATTACTAGCAGCATTCTCAGACCTGGAAACAATATGGGAATTTATACAGAAACATAAATGACCACAAGTTGCCAAAACAATCCTCAGCAAAACAAAACAAAACAAACAACAACAACAACAACAACAAAAACAAAGCAGGAGGTATCACACTTCCAGACTTTAAACTCTATTATAAAGCTACAATAATCAAAACAGCCTGGTATCAGTACAAGAACAGGCATATAGACCAAAGGAATAGAATTGAGATTCCAGAAGCAAAACCTCAATTTCTCAACCAACTCATCTTCGACAAAGCCTCCACCGCCAACCACTGGGGAGAGGAGAACCTATTCAGTAAATGAGGCTGGAAAAACTGGCTGACCACATGCAGAAGATTGAAACAAGATCCCTATCTATCACCATACACAAAAATCAACTCTAAATGGATCAAAGACCTAAATGTAAAACCTCAAACTATAAGAACCTTAGAAAATGCAGGAGATACCCTTATGGAAATTGAAACTGGCAACCAATTCCTGATCAAAACCCCAAGTGCCGATGCCATAAGAGATAAGGTAGACAAGTAGGACCTCATCAAACTGACAAGTTTCTGCAAAGCCAAAGAAACTATCAAGAGAGTGGGGAGACAGCCCACAGACTGGGAAAAAATATTTGCCAACTGTATGTCTGACAAAGGCCTAATATCTAGGATCTACAAGGAACTCAAACGTGCTGAAGAAAAACAAAAAGCCCCATTACAAAGTAGGCAAAAGATAAGAATAGACAGTTCTCAAAAGAAGACATACGAGCAGCCAACAGATACATGAAAACATGCTCAGCCTCACTAGTCGTCAAAGAAATGCAAATTAAAACTACACTGAGATACCACCTAACTTCAGTCAGGATGGCCGTCATCAATAACTCAAAAAACAACAGATGCTGGAGACGATGCAGAGAAAAGGGAACACTTCTACTCTGTTGGTGGGAGTGCAAACTAGTACAGCCTCTGAGGAAAACAGTGTGGTGATTCCCAAAAGATTGAAAAATTGACCTTCCATACAACCCTGCAATTCCCCTACTGGGAATATACCCGGAAGAACAAAAAACACTCTGTAAAAAGATACCTGCACACCTATGTCTACCACAGCATTGTTCACAGTAACAACAACATGGAACCAATCGTGCTGACCATCAAAACAGGACTGAATTTTAAAAATGTGGTAAATATACACGATGGAACGTTATACAGCCATAAAGAAGAACAAAATCATGAACTTTACAGAAACCTAGATGGACTTAGAGTCTATAATACTGAGTGATATTTCACAGAAACAAAGAACCAAGTATCATACGTTCTCACTCATAAGTGGTCCTTGAACAATTAACATAATACTATAAGAAAAGGATTGGCAGTAGTAGGAAACTGCTTGGGGGAAGGGAGGTGCACCTCACCAACAAGGGTACCTGCATAATGATCATGTGTAAACCTAACCGTGAATTGTACCCCACATCTTTAAAATAAAAAAATTAAAAGTTATCTCCTTCAAAAAAGGCAACTGGCATCCCAAAATATAGCTTGCACAGACTATTTCTCTTTTGAATTCTGCTTCCACTGGCCACGGCTGAGCTACTCAACTCAATGAAATACTCAAAGCTGTCCAGTGGTGACATTTTAAGCAGGCATGAGAGTTTCCATGTCACAGAATGCCTAGTACACCAACCATAATGAGAAAAGGGCAAATTTCCTTAGCTACATGTCCAAGCCCCACGAGGACAAGGACACTCCCAACCTCTGGGTCAACTCCCCTGATTGTCCTCATTGAGCATAATCCCACAGAGATCTGGGAGAAGCATTTTTGTGTAAATGCACAAAATCAAAGATTCATGGGCTTTGCGGGCCAGAAAGGACCTAAAGATAATTGAATCCTAAACTCCAACTCAGATGATACAATCAGCACCTGGAAAGTGACATGATTTGTCAAGGTCACCCTGCTACCTATTTGACTCAAACCAGAACCTGAGGTTCTTGGCTCCTTTCTTTCCTCCTGACTTTGGACAAAGGCAACAAGAATAGAAGTCAGAAGCCCAAGAGTTTTTTCCTTTTTCTAGCTACTTTAGCAATTCAAACATAAGGATGACCAAGAAAACATACTTACAGCCAAGTCAAATTCGATTAAAGAAAGCTGGACCCGGTGTCTGTGGTACACACTGGAAGTGCTTAATTGCAAAACCCTGAGCTTTAACTCTGCGGCAAGGGGCAAGGCCAAACTTCAACTTCTCAGAAAAACAAATGCTGGTGTTGCATAATTTTTCTACTTGGCACCCGAACCCGAGTGACTGCACATTTAAAATAACATTGCATTCCATGCATCTAATTCAAGACTAGGTAATGAGTTGACCGGAGAGAGAAAAGTCGGCAGTGGTCTATGTGGGGCCAGTAGGGAGTTAGCAGCCATGGGTAAGGGTCAGTGTCCTTCTACCCTGCCCTGCGTTGAGAGTAACCCCCAGCAGGTAGTTCTAGAAATGCAGACATGGATTCTTGCTGAGCTGTGCTTTGGGGTTTTAAAGAGTGCCATTAGTAGAGGATTAAGATCCCCGAATATACACATTCTCATAGGAGCTTGTAAGCCACTGCAGGTCACCTGCTCCCTCGTGCTTATAATACACCCCTCCCTTCTTTGTGACTCTAAGGGTATGGCAGCTGGGATTTAGGCTTGGGCACATCCTCATGGTCAAAAGAAAAAAAAAATAGCACTAAGCAGCGTCAAACAGTGCAAAGTGCAGAGATGAGGGTAGCTGTCTCAAGGGAATCACATATTCATTTGTTTTGCTGTTTGACAGAATACTTACCCATCTCTTCAAACGGAAATCTATTCAGTACATAGTAAATTAAAAAACAAAGCTCATTGCTCCCAGCAAACCCTGCCACGCAGTGGAATTGAAAAACCAGGCACATTTTGACACGCTGAGGGGCGACATGTTCATTTCTGTCTCTCTCGCATTGCTCCTGGTTCCCAGGGCGCTCCTGGAGACAGGGGCCTTTATCTTCCCTATGTTACAAGCCCCCTACATTCCTCCTCTGATGTTTCTGCACAGGCCTATCTTTTAGGCCATTACAAGAGCTCATTTGCTGCAGGGAATTGCAAAGAGGGTTTGACACTGTGAGGAGAATCTGAAAAGAACATGAGATCTTAACAGAGATGCTTTATATAGAGATAGGTCAGGATTGAAAACCAAGGAGGAGGCAGAAAAAAAAGGGATCCACAAATTTCTATAGAAGAAAGAGTTCCTTTCCTTTTTCTCCCCCTTGGTCCATTCTAAATGTGATTTTTTTTAATGATCAGAAAATGACTGACATTAACTGAGATAAGTCAATTATGCAGCGACCAGCAATGATGTCACTGCTGTCAAGCATACTGTTCTTTCCAATCCTGCCTGCCCCAAACTTACACAGAAGCCCTACAAACACAGCAAAGTCTTTCCTCCCAGGCTGGAGAGATGAGTTAGTCTCTCCATTCCAAAGAGTTAATAAACAGCATTCCAGGGTTCATATCTCGGGTTCTGAGGCCTGGGGCTGAATTCTAACCCTCACTCATTGGCTGGGTCACATTGGGAAAGTTACTTAACCTCCCTGTGACTTAGTTTCCCATCTTTAAAACGGGGATAAGCACAGGGTTGTATAGAATGAGTAACACACCCAAAGCACAAAATACACAATGAACAATGTGAGCTGCTAAGACCATGAACTATGAAGGTATTAAGGTGAGCTCTCACCAGGATCAAAGGGCACCTGGACACTGGCTTTAATTTATTTATTCATTTTCAACCTAGCTTATCCTTGCCTTCAAATAGGCAGGGTTTTTGTTTGTTTGTCTGTTCCGTTTTCTATTTTTTTATTTTATTTTATTTTATTTTTTTTGAGTTGGAGTCTCACTCGGTCGCCCAGACTGGAGAGCAGTGGCTGCTCTCGGCCACCGCAGCCTCAACCTGCTGGGCTCCGGCGATCCTTCCACTTCAGCCTTCCGAGTAGCCGGAATTACAGGCATACACTACCACGCCGGGCTGATTTTTTGATTTATTGTAGAGATGAGGTCTCGCTGCCCAGGCGGGTCTCGAACCCGTGGGCTCAGGCAATCCACTCACCTCAGCCTCCCAAAGGCGTGGGATTACAGGCTGAGCCACTGAGCCCGGCTTGTTCCTTTTTTTAAAAAGACTCTTTTGGGCAGCAGACAGCTTGGTCCCCGTTGAGGGCAGACTGTTTGTGGGGTCACAGCCCACTTACAAGTAACGATAGCCCAGTGATTCAGACTCCCTCCTTGCAAGTGAACACTTCACCACCCTCCCATGTGCCCATGGATTTTAAATGCAAAGACAAACTTGTTATGAAGACTGAATGCTTTAGTTTTTGAAGTTGATGCTCAACTTAAAAATTTTAAACGGCTGCAAACTGAATTAATATAATAGGAGAGACTAAAGTGACTGTTCTGCAATTTCCCATTCCCTTTCCCGCCACCTGCTCTCTTGGTCCAGAGAAGTCCAGCAACAATGGCAGAGCTCTCAACCAGCCCACTTGAAGCCACCGCTAATAAAAATCAGTTTAAGTAAAAACAGAGTATTTGCTATCCAAGCGTAGTGCCAAGAAAAGCCCTAAAACTAACCCTTTCCAACCAGACTTCTGTCCCTAAGATCCTCAGGTATAGAATTTGGGGAGACCCCCTTCCCACTACCTAAAAGGTTGTCACCAAGGTTACTGGTATCTCATTAGAAAGGGAGTGGCACAGATCATGAGGATGAACCAGAAGTTACGTACCACCAGACAAAGTCCTAGGAGAGCAGAGCTTCAGTCTGGTTCCTCTTTCCCCTCTGTAGCAGGAGCCACAGAGACTGAGTAGGTCTGGGGCATAGCAACCTACCTTGATAGTCTTCACCAGATTGGCGGTGCTGTTGGCGACCTCCTTGGCTGACTGGACGAAGTGCCTCTTAGCTACTGGGTTGGCCGTCTTGGATGAGGCAATGCGGCAGGCATTGCACAAGGCAGAGGTGTGCTTGGCAACAATTGTGGCGGCTGACAGGACCTACAAAGCATGGGACTAGGTTGTGGGCACCCTAAGCTTCAGGGCAGAGGGCTCCAGGGTAGAGGAGTCCACCAGGTCTCGAGCCTGGCTTCCTCTTCAACTCATGCATCTAGATCCTGTGTGTCTAGCTCTGCTGTCCCCAAAGTCACTCCAGGAAATGAGAGGGCAGGAAATATGACACAAGAGAGAATGGAAAAAGCAAAGGAAAAGGAGGTGCTTATGCAGTGGTGGGAGAAGGCTGGGCCCTAGAGAGTCTTAGAGGGCATGTGGTCAGCTAGTCTTTGGAACCTCCAGATAAGAGGTCCAGGGTGAGAGTTTAGTCCGAGGTCTAGACATAGGCAATCTTAAATGTTCTAGTAGCCACATGAAAAGAAGTAGAGAAAAAGAAATTAGTTACTTTAAGTCAGTATATCTAAAATATCATATAATCAATCTAAATATACTATTAATGAGATTTTCCAATCTTTACAATCACAGTAAGTCTTTGAAATCCAGTGTGTATTTCATATGTACAGCCCGTCATGACTTGGACTAGTCTATTTCAAGTGCTTCATAGCTGCATGTAGCAAGTGGCCACCATGTTGAAGAATCCAGGTCCAGATGAGAAAAATTCAGGGGTAGCAGCTTCCCCTCATCAACAGATGGGCTGTTGGTACCTTCGTGAGGGGTCTGGTTCAGGAAACTCCATGGGCTCCACCCCAGCCCCAACTCATTTCTTCCCTGAATCTACTCACTCTGTGTTGCAGGGCTGGTAGCACCCTTTGGCTTGACTGGGCAGGTGAGGACTCCTGGGTTCACTGATACACCAGCTCTCGGGGCTGCTTTAGTCCAGATAGTCCCTAAATTGCCTTCATCACTTGAGCCCTTCTCCTGCCTCAAAAATGCCAGTCCTAGGGTTTGTAGATGGCTGTGCCTCTCACAAGACTGCCTCTAGCATCCCCAATACCAGCCACAGGTCCCCCCTTTAATGTGTGACTGGGACCCCATACCACTCAGTATCAGACGTGCCATGGAAGGGCACACATACTACCTAGTCCTCAAATGACTCTCTGGTTCCCTTCGGTGATGGGGAGGCCTGGCTCAGTGCTGTCATGTATGCGAAGTGGCTCCTGACAGTGCCCTCAGGGAATTCATCACCCCTTCCTTTGTGCACCTCTGACATTGTCATCATACCCCAGCCACTGCATTTCCAAGCTCTGCCCAAAGGCTAAGAGCCGAGGGGGTGGAACATGGGGTGTCACTCCCGTGGCTCCCTCAGTGCAGAGCACAGAACAAGCCCTCGGTGCTGCCCAGAACTGAAGGAAGTCTCTTCTAGAACCTTGCTGTGATTGCTTCATTCCTACTGCCTCCGCACCCCATTCAAAGCACCTACAAATCCCCATTTTCATATTGTGCAGCGCCCCCTCCCCTCCAGTCATTATCTACAGGGCTGTATTTAGCTGGCCTTGTAAGCTGCAAAAGAACAGGATTCCCACACAGAGAGTTTCCCACCAAGAGGAGCTTGAGGACTTGAAAGCTGCACCCCCTCCCTGTGGTTACCTGCGAAGGACTGCTGCCAGGGTCCACCAGGTTCTGGCATGCCATCTGGATCGCCTGGTTAGCCCTGGCAAACTGTATGGGGTCCACAAGGCCCTGGTGGCCTGCCTGGCTATTTGGATCAGAGATGCCGACCAGGTAAGCAGCCTGGAGAGGGAGGAGAAAAACCATAGCTCAGGAGCCATGCTCCAAGGTGAGCCCGTGTGGGATGACAGTCTGCACTGGCCATGCAGCCGTCACACTCAGGCGCGCCTTACAGCAAGCCGGTTGGGATCATCTCACCCCTCTTGCCAGTAAGGGTGTAGCGACAGACAAGCTCATGCTGGCTAAACAGGCCAGCAGGAGTTTGCTGCATGCCCCAGGGAACAAAGTCTCCCTGTTAAGAGTGCACCTCAAGAAGTTCTTCGGGGCATGGACAAGGATGGATGCAATCCTGGCTGCTCTGGTCATGAGGGTGCCCAGCCTCAGCACAAAGGTGACTGCCAGACAGGAGAGGCAGGAAACAGTGGGTGTGGACTGATGTACAGAGTCACTGGGCCAGCCAATCCGGGAGCCTGCCCTGCCCTAGGGTTTCTCCTCACATAGCTTACCATGTCCCTATTGTGTAGGTCAGTATGTCCAATAGCAGGAAGAACATTAACTAGGTAACTGAGTAAGATGGCCCAGAAAACAACAGAAAGACCCCAAAGGACAGGAGGCCACAAGAGAATGTCTTCTCTTTGGATTCCCTTTGGATGGATCAGCCAAAAATAACAGGGAGAAAACAAATCTGTGGGCAGGAATTTTTACCTGACTCCCCAGAGATTTGGGGGGGAAGAATGAAGGTAGAGAACTTCATTCCCAAACTGGGGATGTTTCTCTTTGGTTCAGTAAAATCTGCTAAGTTCAAGGTCATAGTCAAATTATAAATCCTTCAAGGTAAATGCTGACACAACTGAAGCCCAATAATTACTGAAAAAAATGTCCAGGATCACCAAAGGACAAGAAACATGCCACATCATGTCTCTGCATGATGGCATCTATCTTTTTTTCTCTCTCTGATCCTAAAAAGAGCATGACTAACGTTTTTGTAATCCTAAAGCCTCAGCAAATTTCAATTATTATTATTATTATTTTTTTTTGAGTTGGAGTCTCACTGTCGCCCAGACTGGAGTGCAGTGGCCGCTCCTGGCCACCGCAGCCTCCACCTGCTGGGCTCTGGCGATCCTTCCGCCTCAGCCTTCCCAGTAGCTGGAACTACAGGCGCACGCTACCATGCCCGGCTAATTTTTTTGATTTATTGTAGAGATGAGGTCTCGCTGCCCGGGCGGGTCTCGAACCTGCGGGCTCAGGTAATCCACTCACCTCAGCCTCCCAAAGGCACGGGATTACAGGCTGAGCCACCGAGCCCGGCGCAAATTTCAATTATTTAGTGCTTTTTTTTTTTTCCTACCCCAAACAGTTCACATACAACTATATCCTTAAAAATAATTTAAAAGTAGGCCACTGAACCTGTATGCTGGGTCTGCAGTACTCAACAAGTCTCACTGTCCCCCCCAACCTGGCCCATGGCTGCTCTGCTCCTGGGGGGTAGCTGACTGATGTTTTTTCTCAGTGCCCCAGCCTGCACGGGAGCCACTGTCTTTTCCATGGTATCTATGGTGATGCTTAGAGGAGGGGCTAAAGATGGAGCTCACCCATGCCTCCCACAGGGATCTGGCACAGCGCACATGGCTGTATCAGGCCCAGTCCTTACCTGGGCCGCAGCCTCCGTCAGCCCACAGAGAGCTTTGGATGCAATCCCCACACATTCCCCAAAGGCAGGGAGGTCCCCGGTCTTGGCGTTCTGTGATATCCCTGCCATTGATTCACCCAGAACCTGCAAAAAAACAAAACAAAACAAAACAAAACAAATCCAGCTGGCAATATTCTCTATCTAGCATTGCTTTCAACCAAAGGGCAAGGGAGGGCTACACTTCCAACTGTTAACATTCAAGGCCACTTAATGTATAATATTTGCTATTTTCTCTTTCATTTGTACTAAGAAGAGATTCAAGAAAATGTTATCATTTGTTCCATAAAGAGAAATGAATAATGAAAATATGAACGTTCCACCCCAAAGTTACCTATAACCCAAGGAGATACACAGCTAGCACATACAGACAACAGAGTCTACACAGGGCATCCCTTGGTGAATGGGTTACACTGAGGACCATTCATTCCTAAAATATTAAAATCATATTCATTGAGCTGCAGGTGAAGTCATACACAGAAAGCAGAAGGTACACCCTTCCAGATATAATTTTTTTTTTTTTTGAGTTGGAGTCTCACTCTGTCACCTAGACTGGAGTGCAGTGGCCGCTCCCGGCCACCACAGCCTCGATCTGCTGGGCTCCGGCGATCCTTCCGCCTCAGCCTTTCAAGTAGCTGGAACTACAGGCACGTGCTACCACGCCCGGCTAATTTTTGATTTATTGTAGAGATGAGGTCTCGCCAAGTTGCCCAGGTGGGTCTCGAACCCACGGGCTCAGGCAATCCACTCACCTCGGCCTTCCAAAGTGCTGGGATTACAGACTGAGCCACCGAGCCTGGCCCAGAAATAATTTACTTATGTACTGACAGTCAAATGTATATACTAGATCTTTGCTAAGCATGTTTTCTTTCTTTTTTTGAATCAAGGTCTTATCCTGTTGCCTAGGCTAGAGTGCAAGGGCATGCTCATGACCACCACAGTCTCGACCTTCTAGGCTCAGGGGAACATTCCACCTCAGCCTTCCAAGTAGCTGGAACCACAGGTGTGTGCCACACCTGGCTAATTTTTTAAAAAATGTGTTTACTGTAGAGATGAGGTCTTGCCGAGTTGCCTAGGCTGCTCTCGAACACCTAGGCTCAGGAAATCTTCTTGCCTCGGCCTCCCAAAGTGCTGGGATTACAGGTATGAGCCACCATGCCCAGCAATATGTTTTCTAAAACTAACAAGTATTTTGCCTTATTTTGAAAATCACTTGTGCATTCTTTCTTCAGAGATCTTCACACGAACAGCTGAAAGGGATTTTAATATCCAGTATCCAACTGAGAGGTCAAGCACCCTGTGCAAGGTCAGACAGAAGATCAAATGGGCAGAGGCAGGGAACCCATCACACATCTGGTACTCTGTCTTCTATAGGCCTCATATGCAACAGGAGGGTGGGTCATATTTTCCTGGACCACAATGATGAAACTGAAGGATGTTAACTCTTTGGAGATACTATGGCATGGCCAAGTCTAGAAGCCAATGCAGAGTTCATTTGTCAAAAAGCCATCTTGGATGAGAAAATGAAATAAATTCCCTAAATTGCTTAGATATACACAATAATCCAGTTTTCACAAAGATTTGCAAAACAAAGAAGCCAGGGGGTAGTTTTATTCACAATATTTCCCCCTACCCTCTCTTTAAGAAGGAACCGTTTCTTTAGATCTGAGTTTGTAAAATGTATGATCCTCCCTTTAGACGATCCATAATTCCATAAAAGATGCTTATCAGAGGAAACTCTAGTCTTAGCTCCGAAACAGACTGAGCCCTTCTGACGTCACCAATACAGATAACATAAAATGATACAAACAAGCATGCACCCTTGCTTCAGGTAAAAAGGCAGACATCAAACATTCGACATCCATTCATTTCCCTGGCTTTTAATTTTTACCTTTTGACTTCGAGACATTCTCAAAAGATCCTGGTATGATAACCATAGATGAGTTTCTCAACAGGTTTTTTTTTTGGTCATTATTATACCACTATGGAGCCTTTTCCCCTAATTGCCACCCCCATCAAATGAAATACTAAGGAATAAGATTTTGTTGAGTAGGGTTAAGATGGGAGGGACAAGTCACCATGTTATCTTAGATTATTTTTTAACACCTCTCTACACCCTGCCAAAAAAACAAAACAATTTTCACTCCCCTTGAGAAGGCACGTTATAGATGGTCGGCAAAAGGAACACACAAGAGGATCCCACACAAGTCAAGGTCACCGAAAGACTTTCCACATCAGTTCAAGTGCAGACAATACACAACTCCCACAAAGACCCATCTGTGATAGGAGAGAGGTAATGTTTCTTGGAGTATGCTTCCTGGACCCCAGGGGGCAAGATCTGGGAGATGGTGAGCAAATGCAGAACCTCAGCCCTGTCTCAGAACTACTGAATCAGAAGCTTGGGGAGAGGGGGTGGCAATCTGTGTTTAATGAGCCCCCCAAATGATTCTCATGCACCCTCAAGTCTGAGAGCACCTGAGCCAAGGTCTCCCACACAAGGCTTTAGGACACAGGGGACCAGCCACACAGACACATCTCCATCTTTCCTCACACTAGGGGGCAGTGTTAACTTTTGGATTACGGCATGAACAGGCTTACCTTGGAGTTCTCCATCACACTTTCAATGCAGTCAAAGTAAGAGAGGTCACTAACAGGTTCATTAGGATTGTCCAACATCCCCTTGACAGTCTACAGAAGAAGAACACATCTTAAAAAGCAAGCAGTATCACAGAGCACAAGAAATGCAACACAAAATACCAACGATCAGCTTTCCCTCTATCTACAGGATTCTAGTCATGATCATTCATTTACACTCAGATTCTTTAGAGAATTTAGATCATGGTATCATGGCATCAGATTTCCTGCTAGAAATACAACACTGATGAGGAGGGCAGGAAAGGGGTCTCAAGTTAGCTTTGTCAGAGATGAGAATCTCTTGTTTTCAGTTTTGAAGAAACATGGTAAGCACAGAAGGATAACATTAATAAAAGAAACTTGAATGTTAATACAGGGCAACACATTCATGGTCAATTAGCACAACTTCTCTGCTGGATAATTCTAAAGAGTTCAGATTTCAAAACCCACTCATTTATCTCTTCATGACTTGGTAAGGAATCTCAGTTTTTCCAATTCTGGAACCTTTCAATGGGAAGGCACGAAAGGTCATTCCTCAAAACTGCCCACAGGAATGGTTCGTTTGTTTTTAATTTTTATAACCACTCTTGTTTAGGTCCTCATCAAGGAAATACATAGGTAGAGGGCCTGGCTCTCTGTCTCTGAGCCACTGAAAATCATCACCAGTTTTTTTGTTTATTTGTTTTTTTAGTTGGAGTCTTACTCTTGCTGCCCAGACTGGAGTACAGTGGCATGCTCCCGGCCACCAAAGCCTCCACCTGCTGGGCTCCGGCGGTCCTTCTGCCTCAGCCTTCCAAGTAGCTGGAACTACAGGCATATACTACCACGCCTGGCTAAATTTGATTTATTGTAGAGACAAGGGTCTCGCCAAGCTGCCCAGGTGGGTCTCAAACCTGTGGGCTCAGGCAATTCCCTCGCCTCAGCCTCCCAAAGTGCTGGGATTACAGGCCGAGTCACTGAGCTTGGCCCATCACCAGTTTTGTAATGACACTGTAATGACTTTTGATCAGCACTTGCAAAGGACTTTTCCAATGAGGAAATTCAACCTCATTCCCAAGGAGCAAGAAAGTACATTAGGATCCAGCAGCCTCTGGGGCACAGCCAACAAAAGACAAAGTCATTTGAGCTACAAGGGGTGGGGGTGGGGGCGGGGAGGAAGTAAAGGGGACTGCTGAGCTGTTCAGTTAAAGTTATGAGGGAAAGAGGGTGAGGTAAGAATGGAGCTCATGTCATTGAAGAAACTCCTCCCATACCGGATAATCAAAATTGTTTTAGTAGCAGCAACCCTGAAATAGCCATCATTTGGTCAACCAAGGATATTACTAAAGGACAGAGTACTGGCACACAGGCCGACAGGATTCATTTAGAGCAATGGCCCACATATTTATATTTGCAAATGTGAACGGGGCAGAACAGGGCAGTGATTCAGTCAATGTAAGAACCATTCTCACTGTTTTCAGAATGTATCGGCCCTCTGATAACAATCCCCTTCTCATTTCCAGCTGTGCACAAAGGCCTAGTGCCATCATCAGGGCCCCAGTCAAATGCTCCGGAGGCTATGTTAACGGATATTCCCAGCATGCCAGAGTCATGCGGATCACCCAGAAAACGAGAGGTCCACTGTGCACAGTCAACCCATGGCCACTGAGATATCCATTTGATTGTTTCAATGGGACCTGCACTGATTAGGACTGCCTTACACACAAGCAGGCATGTTGGTTTTATGTCTACCCACATACATTCTGTGGGAACGCGACAATTTTATATTAGAAATAAAATGAGTATCAGAGATTGCTACCTAAAAATTCAGCCTGGACCCAATACCATAAGCCTCTCCTGGTTTGAAATAAAGAATCTTTTAACTAAAGAGAGCTCATCCAAGTGGACAAAGGGGAAGCAGGAAAAAAATCCCACCTAATCTAATTTGCTTTCAGTTCCTTTCCACTTGGTCTAGAACTTTGGTCTCAACAGTCTCCCGGAGAAGATAAAAGGCAATGGCAGAGGAGAGGAAACTAACCCACTAACCCTAGAAACACGAGCACACGTGTTTTCTCTTTTCCTCTCCCTGAAATCCTCAGCAGCCTTCCGAGGACCTACCTCCAGTTCCCGGAGAGCATTATCACACTCTTTCTGGCCAGGAGCTTGTTGGGTGCACAGAGTGATGAGTTGATTGATGCTCTCTGTCACAGCTCTGTGACAAAAACAGAAAAAAAAAATTTTTTTTTAAAAGATCAATAGTAACTTCCCCAACAATGTCAGGTCCACCCTAAACACCATGGATTCCCTATTTAGGCTGCGGTCCCCATGAAAGTTCTTCTACAGAGACCCTACATAATAAAAAACAAACTATACCAGGGAAGCTAAAATGAGAATCCCTGTCCTTGTTTCTGATTATTTAGTTGGTTTACCCTCAAGGGGTCCTAATACAGTTGACCCTTGAACAACACAGGTCTGAGTTGCATGGGCCCAATTGAACATGGATTTCTTTCAATAAAAGTCACATTTTATTGAGTGTCTGCCTCTCCTGCCTTCTTTTGCTTCCTTGGCCACCTCTGAGACAGCAAGACCAGTCCCTCCTCCTCCTCAAGGATGAAGACATCTAGGGTAGCTTAATGCATCATAAATATATTTTCTCCTCTTTATGATTGCCCTAATAATGTTTTTTTTCTCCAGCTTACTTTATTGTAAGAACATAATATATATAACACATATAACATATAAAAATCTTCACTGTTTATGTTTCTTTGCTAACATTAATAGGCATAAATTAGAGACTCTTGTATAATTTTACTTGTGTTTCTACTATTCTTAGAATATAAGAGGCAGCCTAGATTTCATCTTACATTGACAAGGACTCCACCCCTCCCAAGCAGCTCCTACTGAACTTATCTTAGGTTATGGCATGGCTAATTTAGAAAATCATGGTCTATTTTTTAAAAATTGTTAATTTTATTTTTATATTTTTTATGAAAAAAAAAGACAAGGTCTCGCTATGTTGACAGGTTAGTCTTGAACTCCCAGGTTCAAGTAATCCTCCTGCTTCAGCCTCCCAAAGTGCTGGGATTATAGGCGTAAGCCACCATGCCCAGCCCAAGGTCCATACTGAGTTCATTTTTTAAAAGGTGTGAGATATGGGTCATGGTTCTTTAAAAAAAGTTTTGCGTATGAAAGTCCAGTTGTTCCAGCCCCAATTGTTGAAAAGACTGACCTTTTTCCTTTGAACTGTTTGCAACTTTGCTGATAATCAATTGGCTATATTTGTGTGGGTCTACGTCTGAGCTCTCTAGTCTGTTCCATTGATCTATGTGACTAACCTTTCACCAATACCACACTGTCTTAATTACTGTAGCTTTACACCAAGTCTTAAAATTGAAAACCCATGCATTTGAAAAATGAAAAATTTGAGAGAGATGAGTTAACTCCCTAAGAGGAAACTGCAAATAAGTAGAAAACAAGACTTAAACTCATTCCTGTCTGCATCCAAATTCAGACCCATGACTCTTTTCTGCAGGGTCATCACTGGTCCACACTTCTGGCAGGGCCCAGAATTCTACTCACCACTTAACCACGGCAGCTAAGGGGCAACTTCAACAAAAACACAACAGGGCACTATTGCTGTTAATCACGAATACCATCTAATATAAAAGATGACTCATTTTATTAGTTAAATTGGCTTTGCCGCTTCCCAGAGAATATTCAATTAGATGGAAAATGATGTTGCCACTGTACAAAAGCAATCGGCCTAATTATTTGATGAGAAGATACTGCTTTCAATTTTAAATTCAGCTAGGATGATAGGAAGAAAAACATTCCTGAACTCAAGAAGGAAGTCCTAAATTGTTTTGTAAGATTGACTCTGGCAATTCACATATTTGGGGAACAGTCCTTAATTAAGGCACCACAAGGATGCACTGTGCTTTCCAGTGCAAAGCAAAACAAGAATGAAGACAGCAACACCTTGGCTAGTTCCAAGGACCTCGGAGGGCACAGTCCACAGTGGGCCCATTGGAAGTGTCCCTCTGAGTCCAACATTGTGATCTGCGTGGTGGCCTTTAGATGCTTCTGATTGGGTAGGCTGGCGTACATCAACATAATGACGGGTGGAGAATGCCCTCAACTGTATGACATGACCACTTGGAGAACACTTCCACACAGCACAGCAACTTTCCATTTAGCTTCACTCTGCTTCCTGTTTATGTGGGGTTTTTTTTAACCTAGTTACTACATGGGGAATCCAAAAAACTCCAGAATTTATCTATATAAAAAATTGTGTATTTATTCTTACGTGTTTATCTTCAGTCACTTTCAAAGTACTCTATCAAGTACTCTTCAAGACACCTATCAAGATGCTTTTTCCACTGCTCAAAACAGGTTTGAACTTGTCAGTTTTGAAGTTTTTTAGTGCTTCTTCCATTTTTTGTTTCACCTCTTTGACATCAGCAAAACATTTCCCTTTGAGGACTTTTTTCATACAGGAAAACAAACAAAAAATGTTGCTCAGGGTGAGATGAGTTGACTAGGAAACCACGGAACACAGCACGGTGTGGGATGGTGGAAGAACCAGTCACTTGTTTGCCACAACTTGGGATGTTTCTTCCGCAAATCATGATGCAACCTTCTCAAAACTTCCAGATAAAAACTTTGGTTGACCATTTGGTCCAGAGGAGCAAAGTGTACTACTATAAGAGGACTGTACTCCAAAAGGTAATTCCAGGCTTTTTTAGGTCCCCCCCCTCATATAAAGACTTCTATAACACTATTAACAGTGATTTTATGTTATTCCTACAGCAAGAATTTCAATAAATCTATCCAAAAAATTAGAAATAAATCTGTTTGCAATATCGTAAAAAATGGTCAAAATTAGCAGAATCTCTGTTCTATGTACATCCAAATAGGTCTGAACTGTAGTAACTGTTATTTTTTTTCCACAATATTTTTTAATAATCAAAGCTATCCAAGTTTATTTTAAAAAATACAAAAAAGTTAAATAACCATAATTCCACTTAGTAGAGATAATACTTTCTTGTATTCTATTCTTTATCTAGGTATATCCAATCACTCTAATTTTTTAAAATTGGGTTACAAAGGGTCTTCTAAGATAAAAATCACCTTGCATTCAGAGATACTAATTCAACTGACATTTGAGAGCTCTGGATGGAAATTTTAAATAGATATGGAATTGCGGCAGAGTGGGAGAGTAAAGTCAACCCATCTGATGATCTATTAAGCTCTTGATGCAAGATCTATTAAGCACAAAGGACCTGATAAGGGGCTTGGAGGAAAAAGCAGGAGCATGAGACATCTTCCTCCCTCCAGGGAAGAAGCACTTGAGAAGGCAGGAGAGAAAGAGTGAGACAGAATCTACCCACAGGTGCTCCTGGGTCCTGCTATACACAAGGCATGGAGATGAAACAATCATCTAGGTTAAGTCTCTCTGGGACAGCAGGTTGCTTGCAATCTAGTTGGAGAGGCGAGACAATGAGATGACAAGATACAAAGAAGTTGGGCCAAAGAAAGCAGGGACCTGGGCATGACACCTGACAGGACATGCTGCACGGCTGAAAGAGAGGTCAGACACATGTGGGACTCACAGGGAATACAGAGGAAAACAAGAGCCTTAACCATGGGACACAGACTCCGCACAGAAGGGAGGGCTTGACGTAGATGCACGTAGTTGGAAAAGTCAGGGCTGAACCTAAAGGAGGAGGGAACATTCTAGATGAGACCAACAGAGAGAGCGAGGGCCTGGTTGACATAGTTCTGTTTTCTGGAGTGAAAGCACTCATCCCCTTTGTGCCACTTGCTGGATCATCCTTCAGTCTCTGGAGGCTGGCGGAATCCTGCCCAGCCGGAGCCTCAGACCAAAGGGACACCAGTGAGGCAGGAGTCACCTGCAAGTTCCTAAGAAGTGCCCTCAGAGGCCTGGAACTGGAAACCTGGCCTGTACGGGTTTGATGTTGGCTGCTGCAGGCGTGAGGGCTTCTCTGGCCAGGGTGACTGTGGTGTGAGCATGAGCAGCAGCTGGGGAAGGTGCACAGAGGTAGGACATCCCCGCAGTTGCAAAAAGGTTTTCCATTTTGCTAAGTTCAGGGAGCATCAGATTAGCCTCTGGTTGGGGACAGGCTGATGAACGGTTGACACAGGGTCTCCAGCTCCACCAACTTTCAGGACCAGGACCAGTTACACAGGAAGAAGATGGGCAAACTAGACACGGAATAGAAAACAATTTCCTCTCCTGTAGGTATCTGAAACCAAGAGGCTGGGGTCCCCACATGTACCTGGCTTGGAGGCAGAATTAAGAGAAGAAAAAAAAAGAAATCTACTTTGTCTCCAGAAGCAAACCTTTTCCCCCAGAACAAGAAGGACCACAGAGAACAGCAGTTCAGGACTGCTAACATAAGAGCAGGACAGGACGGAGTTGTCCAGACCTGGGTCCCCATGGTGGTACTTTGGGGACTTTGGGGGACATGTCCATGAAGGGCAGGCAGAGCTCAGCTGTCTCTAGAACAGGCAAGGGGTGGACCCGAAGACCGAGGGCCACAAGATCGGGTTCCTGCTTCCTGTGCACTCGCACACAGGCCCAGACAGAAAGAGGGGGGTGTGGTGTGTGTGTCTGGCCCTGCTCTACCAGGGCCACACCCCTATCTCAGCCACGGTGTGCATCCAGTACCCAGCATGGGGTCTCACCCCTATTGACCTGTGATAAAAGTCTGTGTCATGACCATGTAGAAGAAAGAGAATGAATGAATGAACCCCAGGCTGGCTGAGCTTTGCGTCCCAAGACCTTTGCTTGACCCACTAGACCTGGCTGGAATTTTCTCTGAGAAACAGCACCAGGGCACAGGAAGCTTACCAAAATGTGCCCAGAAACCAAGGATAATGTACCAGCATTTTCTTGCAACAGTTCCATCCTGAGATAATCATTTTCACATGATGATTTTTTTTTTTTTGACTTGGAGTCTCACTCTGTCGCCCAGGCTGGAGTGAAGAGGCATGCTCACGGCCAACGCAGCCTCGACCTGCTCGGCTCAGGAGATCCTTCTGCCTCAGTCTTCAAAGTAGCTGGAACTACAGGCATGCCTCACCATGCCCAGCTAATTTTTTGATTTATTGTAGAGATGAGGTCTCACCAAGTTGTCCAGGCTGGTCCCAAACCCAGGGGCTCAGGCAATCCTCTCACCTCAGCCTCCCAAAGTGTTGGGATATAGGTGTGAACCGCCATGCCCAGCCACATGATGATTTTTAAATGCTTGCTTGGCTATAAAGTTACCAGTCTGGGAACTCTCCGCCAACTGCTAAAAGCCAAGAGAGAGGCAAAGAGAGCTTTTTAAACTCACTCCCAGATCCTTTCCTCCATGCCGCCACCAGGGGGCCTGCAGATACCCACAGAGCCACAGACCTGCGACATTCCTTCAGGGTCAGTGTCACTCTGCACCTGGCTTTCAAAAGGCCCATTTATACATGTCCCTCCTCCCCCAATTAAAAGACTGAACTACACACTCCAAGTTGGAAACTGTAATTCTGAAATGATGCAAAGAACTGAAGATCATGAAAAACATCTGAGTTCAGGTACCTGGAAATGTCAGCTGTCTTATCCAAAGGCTCTTTGTAGAAAAAAGAACAATCCAGAGGGTTTTAAAAAAATAATCTGAACAGCTGCTCAACAGAACAGACCTTGCCCCCATCCCTACCCCCATCAAAGGAGGGTATCTGTTTGCCAGAATAATCACAAACAAAGCATGAGATGGAGGTGTGGAGATGTGAAGAGAATTCTTCCAGTCCCCTGCTGGCTCTAGTTATTTGCAGCTAAAACATATCACCCTGGAGTAAATGAAGACATGCAAGGGAATTGATCTGACAGTGTCTAACCCTTGGCAAAAACCAAGAGAGCCAAGAGGGGATGAGAGGCAGGTTGGAACAACCAGTATCATGAGCTCTCATGTATGGAGACCCGAAGAAAGCTCACTGATGATGCCGTTCACATGCCCGTTCTGCAGATGGAAAAGTTGAGGCAGGTGGAGCCAACTGACCGATATAATCGAGTTAGTCACTTATTAAACCTGAGACTAGAATTCTGTCCTCCTGACTCCCACAACTTAAAAACAACCATGGAGCTTCCAGGGAAGACATAAAGACATGAAAAAACAAATAAGCAAACAAAAAGAAAGCAGAACTGAAGCTACTCTTTTCAAAAATCACTCATCGACAAATTCTAAAAAAGGTTTCCCATTACTCTACATACCCTAATAAAACTGTTTTTAATCTCCTTCTTCCATATACCTGGGAATAAATAAATATGTACTGTAATGTGATACTAAATCATGGTAACAATGCTAAGAAAACATGCCTTTGCCACCACAGAGTCTTAACATACCCTACCCTCTGGGTTCAGGAGCGTGAAAGTGGGACTGTTAATATCAGGTCTTCTCGGGCTGTCACTGCAGTGCTCCATGTAACAAAACTCGTCACTAAACTAACCAGTAGAAACTGTATTGTCTCACTTACTTCCCTGGGTGAAACCAAAAGGAAAGAAGGACATTGAACCATTCAAACCTCAAAATCATGTCTTAACGTATTTCCCAAACTAGTTTCCTCCCATCCCACTGCCTCCCTATTTATCTTCAGCTGGAGCCCCTCCCCAGGTGATTGAAGCAACACATTAAATTCATTCTAACTTTGGTGCCAGGCACACAGTAAGTGCTCAATAAGTATCTGTTGCATGACACATTGAGCACTGCTTTCTCCTTTCCAGTATTCTCTGACTTCTCTTCAACAAGTATATATTATTTTCATGATCTGAAGGATCTATCACCACTTGAAACAAATCTCTTTAAGCCATCACATTTACAAGTTGATGGGGACCTTAAGCCTACGCAAGCCCTACTGAAAGGTTGTAGGAGAAGACAGGAGATATTTTTAGCAGGGAAAGCACATGGAAATGAGCCCGTTTTATGAAACGCCATACTCTCTACCACTCTCAACTCCACCTTTAATGACCTAAAGGCAGCACCAATTCTTTGCTCAGCATAAATGGCAGGATGCCAGGCACGTCCTTCAGGCTGCAGTGACACTGCTGAACTGCACATGAAAGCTCATGCGTCCCTCTCCTACCTTGCAGCTGCGGCCAGGAGGTTTTTCGCATTGGGAGCGCCTGGATCTACAGAGAGAGACTTGGCAGCTAACAGCAGCTTGCTGGATGCCATAGAGATGTTCTTGAGGTTCCCTACCACCTGGATCTGGTCTTCTTTTGTCTGGAAGGTCAAAATGAGGTGCGGAATAATTAGGGCCCGTCCGTTTCTCGAAGGAAGCAGAGTGCTAAGAGCGGCATCCTGAGATGGAGGCCAGTCATCTGTAGAGATCGCATGAAGTCCAATCAGTTCACAGATGCCCAACTGGCTGAGACACTGATCAGCATCTACCCTTCCCCAAACACTCACTTAGGTCAAGATGCATGCAACAGGGAATGAGATCCATTCCCCAGTGGGTCAGTCAAGAGCTGTGCTTTCTCACAAGTAGAGGCAGCAGAGGGGGGAGGGAGTGGGAGGAGAGAGACCGCCCAGTGCCAAGCCAGTGTACAGACCAGGCAGCAGTTCCAGCATCTTGCTCAACAATGCTGGAGTTGTCAAGGAGCTGTATATCTCAGCCTGGTACAGACGACCAGCACCGTCTTGACAGTCAGAGCTGACCGCAGACAGAAGTTCCTAACTCGGGAAAGGGCCCATTTCTCACCTGGATGCCATCCGAGAAACAATCCTTTGTAGATAATGGAGGAAGAAACATCCTAACTGTCTCTCTTAGGGAGATTACAGGAGGTCAGAAAACAAAACAGCTCTGCAAGCTGTTATCAGACCAGTTATGCTGCCTCCTTCTAAATGAGGGGGTTATCTGTTTATCTGAAGGAGGGAATTTTTAATCACTTGACACAGTCCATTCAAATGGGCTCACTAAACCTCAAATACGCATTTTTAAATGATATTATTTCACTTTAAAAGAGCGATCCTAATCTCTGCTCAACATTCGCCCTCTTCCTGCCTTCCCTCTAAGTAGCATACAACTATGGATTCTGCCCGAGGAGGAGTGTGAGAAAAGCATCTTCATCACTGAAAGCACACCACACATACACTGATAGCATCTTTGGGAATGCATTCCTGTGAGGTCATGGAGTTTCCTAAGCACCAAAAGAATGCAACTGTGGCCTGCCTGTTTACAGGATTCCCATTCCTATTTGTTCAGTTGGTTTCAAGGGCGGACAGTCCGGCAGAGAAGAGAGGCTAAGGATGACTCTGGTCACCTTCACACCCACCTGGGCCTGGCCAGCCATCTCAATGCCGGCATCGAGGAATTCGTCGAAATCATCACTGAACTTTCCAGAGGCTGCAGCCAGTTCTCCACTCTGGCCCCGGGTGGCATGGACAACTTCCCCAGCAGACTGGTTCAGGTCAGCTGCTGCCTGGTTCAGTTCACTCTGGGCTTCCTGGAAAGGTTTCGTGCTTGGGGGCAGCTGCAGGGGACAGAAGGCACACCATGTGAGAAGTTACGCTTTGCATGGGAGAGACAAAGAAAGGCCATGTGGCCGGAAGAAATATGCTCCAGGGATGCATTTCTGAGTCATCACGACTGCGAGGCTCTGTGTGATGTGAACCCACATTAATTCTGACTTTCAACATGTATATATTCATTCATTTGAATCTCTTGAACAACCTACTCAGTGTTAGACACTGTGGATCTAAAAATGGTAAGGAAAGCTATCTGCAGGGACTCACAGTCTCCTAAGTGGCAGAGATAGGATCCACACCAGGGCAATCAACTGCAGAATCCATTCTCTGAAACCCCACCTTAATCTCTCTACGAATGGAAACTCTCAAGTTTTAGTTTTCTGGAACCAAAAGACAGATGCTATCAAGCTTCAAATCATGTTCTTCCAAACTAACAGTCACCAATTTCAATAGTGGTCTTTGCTAATACTTTTTTTTTTTAACAGAATATAAGTGCCACTCAGTAGAATGATAATCACTTGTGAAACATTCTAGAGAGTTAAACTAAACTATATTTGTTGCTCACATACATTGCCTCCAGACCTGTGAAGAGAAGATAAGGAATGAGCCCAAATCCTCCTTCGGCCACTCACAAACCAGAGGGAGGAGGGAATGGTCCCCCAAGGTGAAATTCCTCAGACTACTTGCTCTTCTCAAGGAGTCTCTCGAGGAGTCTCATGCATCCCTCCCATGCCTGCTCATCATATCTGAGATGTGCCAACAGGAAGCCAGATGGTCACATCCCCTTTCCTATCTCGCTGGGATGACCTGAGTGCAAACAGCACTTGGGCTCAAAGGAAGGTAAACCTTAAAAGCTCCACCTGGGAACTTTGCTAATCAGAAAGCAAAGCAAGGAAAAGACATATCAGCAGGAAATACAGGACTCCTCAAGGGAAGGTTAGCTGCTCAGTGATCCCATGGAGGGGAAAAGACTCCATTCACATCCAAGGTGAGCCCAGTCCCCCAGGGCCCTCCCCAGTCCAAGAATCTCTCACCGAATCCACAAGCAGCTTCTTGCTGGACTCCCCGATACTCTTCAAGGCCACATCCACATCCTTCTGCCCAGGCAGGCAATTCACACAGTTATTCAAGGAGTGTGAGACAGCTTTGGCCACCTGAATACACAAAGGGAAAGAAGCACCTTAAGAAAGCAACTTTTAGTACAAATATTTCTGCACACTTGTTGGAAATGAGCAGTGACAATATGCAGAGCTGAAACAAGACATGGAAATTATCCACTAGCATCTACCTGACCCTGTCTGTTGTATTAAATCACCTTGCCCAGGACTCTTGCCCAAGAGCAAAATTCCACACTCTTGTTGGGGTTAACGTTCTGTCTTGGCAAAGGGTCCATAATAGTCTACAACCCACACAGTCCCCAAACCCAGCTAAGTCATGGCTCTATGATTCAAACATAGAACTCTCCAGGTTCTAAAACAAAGATATTTTATACCAAGAGAAGACAGAAATATCTCCCTTCTTGAAATCCCTGCAGAGGTCATAGAGGTGGAAGCAGACCTTGAGTTCTTTGGACTATAGTTAGCTAGGCTGAGGATAATTTCTGCCCTGGTGCCATCACCCTAAACCTCACTCGGCCCAAAGCCAAGCAGGATGCTTGGAGCTCCTGTAGACCAGCTTGGAGTGGCTGATACACTAAGAATGTTTAAGTGGCCTCTTGTTTGCACTCTTTGGTGTTCTCAGTTAAAAGTTAAGAAAGGAGATGGGCTGTGTCAGTCCCTCTAACCTAAACCAACTTCTATGCAGTCCCAGGTCTAGGGCTTTGCCTAGATGGTCACTTACCAGCTGGTTTTATCAGGTAGTCCAAGAAGAATCCAAAGAAGTAACAGAGAGTCAGAGTTCAAAACTTTTGAGTGGCTAGCCCTAGTACAACTACCTCATGCCCCATGCTAGGAGGAGGAATACAGTTTAGCATACACAGGCCCAAAACAAACAGGTGATGCCCTGTCTCCTAACCTTCCAAAACAAGCATGTGATGCCCTGTCTCCTAAACTCCATCTACTGACTGTGAATTAAGCAGATCTCACATGAATGTGAGGAATACTAGGAAAGACTTACAAAAGCAAGTATCCTGTGTCGCCAGTATTGTCATAACACTTTGGAAGGCTCTGAGAAAACCTGAGAAGTTCACACCAGGACAAAATGCCCAAGAGACGCCCTGCTCACATGTCCGTGTGAACGATGAACCAGGATAGCCATGTTCAATCCCGCTCACCTGGGCTAGCCTCTGTTGACTCTCTGCATCTCCAGGTGCAACCAGGGCCTGCTTGGCTTCCTGAATGAGCATGGCGGAGCCCTCCATCACATCTCGAGCAGAATCTAACATGGCATGCGCCGCCGCAGGGTCGCTTGTGGATGCAGCCACTCCACGGGCAGCCTGGGCCAGCGTTTTCAGAGCTTGAGCCGTCTCTCTGGCAGCCACCCCTGAGGATAAAAGCCCATCAGGCTTCTTATTAGATTCCATCTAAAAATCACACTTTTATTTGGGAATAAATGAGTCCAGGCCAGGCATGGGGGGAGCTCCAGATTAATTTTTGTAAAATTTGAATTGCTGTGTTTCTCAAAGAAGCAGCTCCTTCCCCTGGCTCTTGGCCAGTCTGAGAGAGGAGTAACAACAAATGCAAATGGCTGAGGACTACGTCCCTCTGATTCCCCTGGCCTCAGATGGGCCTGGGCCTAAAACGGCAAGTGCATGGGCATAAGAACACAGCATGGACATGGCTGGGGTGTACATGATCTCAGCTTTTTCTCGGTTGTCTTTGCAGGGGCAGAGCTCACATACAATAAAGTGAATAATCTACATGTGCAGCTCAGTGTATTTGTACACATGGATACATACCCGCAGAGCCACTATCATCTGTGCCCTTCCCCAGTCAATGCCCCCTCATGTCAGAGGTAGTCAGTACACATTCTAATGTTTATCACCTTCGACTAGTTTCACCTGTCCCCTTTTGAAGAGACAGTGTCTTACTCTATTGCTCAGGCTGGAGTACAGTGGTGTGAGCATAGCTCACTGCAACCTCAGCTCACTGCAACCTCAAACTCCTGGGCTCTGACCTTCTGTCTCACCTCCTGAGTAGCTGGGACTACAGGCACGTGCCACTATGCCTGGTTAACTTATTTTCTTTATAAAGATGGGGTCTCGCTATTCTGGCAGGCTGGTCTCCAACTCCTGGCCTCAAGCAATCATCTCACCTTGACCTCCCAAACTGTTGGGATTACAGGCATGAGCCACTGTGTCCCACCTGGTTTCACCTGTTCTCACACTTCATGTTAATGGAGCCACATAGTATGTATTCTTTTGGGTTTGGTTTCTATCTCTGACCATAATGCTGTGAGAATCAACTGAGTTGTTGCATGTAGTAGTTCACTCTTCTTTCTTGCTGTGTAGTATTCCATTATATGAATATACTAACATTTGTTTATCCATTTTTCTGTTGATGGACATTTGGGTTTCCTGTTTGGGGCTACTAGGAATAATCTAGCAAGCAAGTTCTTATACATACATCCAGGTGGACCTATGGCATTACTTCTTTTGGGTCTAAATCTAGGAGTTGGACTGCTGGGTCATAGAGTAAGTATATATGGAGCTTTAGAAGATACTACAAAACAGTTTCCCAAAATCATTTTACCATCCCACACTCTACCAGTGATAGAAAGAATGGCAGCTGCTCTACATCTTAGCCAATACTTGGTACTGTCAGATTTAAATTTAAACATTCTGGGGGGCGTATAGTTGCCGCTCAATGAGGTTTTCACTTTTACATCCTTAGTGAGTAATGACATCGAGCTCCTTTGCATACGCTGAATGGTCACTTAGATAGGCTCTTTTGTGAAGTGCCTGTTTATCTGTAAATTCACTGCAAAACAGACGATGGGATTTGGTGATATACCATGAATATAAACTAGTCCTTTAAAACAAACGCACCACCTTGTGCAGAGTAAACACGAGTCCTGCTCTATGGCACCCAGTCCTGGGCACATTGAGGATGGAGACTGGAGACACCAGGGACAATGATAAAAAACCCTGAGAACCTCAGAACAGCTGACCAGAGAGCTCATCTCACCGAACCATTTCCCAGATAAGGCCCAGCATCGAGAAGTCTCTTGCCTACAAACACTTCTAGAGGTGGGCCCAGAGCTGGAACGGAGGCGTCCTAACTTCCAGGTCAAACCTTCTGCATAGTGTTCTTTGGGATGGAGAACTTCGCTTCTTGTTATATAAGAGCTGCATGAAAAATACTTGAAGTGACTATTTCCAACAGGATGGGGCTAGCTGGTCTCTAAGCACCAGTGAGGGTGGCCTCTACCAGCCATGGCTTCAGCTGAGCCAGCATGGACACAGTCGGTGGTCTTCTCTTAACCAAGGACAAAGTTCTGTAATACAAGGGAGAGCGTGAAAGGCCTTGGATCCATAAAATGAGACAGCATTGCAGCCCTGCAGACTTGCTACCATGTAAATATTTAGTAAATGACACAGCTGGGATATAACTCTACAATCTAATCAAGGTAAATTACAAAGTTGCCAATCTCTTGCTTATCACAGGACAGCTGGTGGGATGAAAGAATTTTAAACTAAATGCCTTTTATGGCAGAGGAGAAGCCCAGGAAACACATAGGAAGATAAAGCTAAGGTGAAGGAGAGAAACAAATGGAATTGAACAATCTGTTATGCTTGAGCTTCTGGCACAGGGTTGAAGGATGTTATTGCTCAGATGAGCGCGCCAGATGTGGTTACACCCTCGTCTAGCTCTGACTCTGCTGCTGATTGGTTGTGTGGTCTAAACTGCTGTCTTTTCTCTCCAGGCCTCAGTTTCCTGCCAGTTTTAGGAGAGGCTGGGAGCCTAGCTCTGATCGTGGAAGAGTTTAGGCTGTGATTTCTGGACCTCTCCTCTTGTCTTGCTATTTGCCATATGGACTCCTGAATCCATTTCTACTTGAGTTGTACCGAAATTTGGAAGAGTAAATAATTTATCATATGCTATTAGAAAAGATATGTTTATGCAAATGCCATTTAGTGAAAAAATGTTTATAGACTCAGAGAATTTTTAAAAAGCAGAGACTGGAAGAGCTAAATTCCAAAATCCTAAACTTGTCTGTCTGATGTGTTTTCTGCTGAGGACTCACTGGGAAATCTCAAGGCACAACAAGGTTCTTCTTGGGAGGAATCAGTTTTCCCAGACAGAGGAAGCCACACCATCAAAAGGATGAAACAAGGCCATTGGGTGCACAAGAGCCCAAAGAACATCCAAGGTTATATGTGGCTGAACTCACAGCAACAGTCTCAGTGGTAATCACTGCAGGGCCAGATCTCTAAGCAATCACACCCCCCCACGCCCAGATGGAACTGCTCCATACGCAAGCATGCATCACAATACCAGAACCACCACACCATTGTGGAATACCTGAGCCGACTTGTTTCAATGACATTACTCTGAAAACACGGATTACTTTCATAGTCTTCTCACTGTCTGGATCTTAAATTATATTCAGTAGCAGAGTCTTCAGAGTTATATCAAGTGATATCAAATATACCAGCATTCCTTGTAATAGTAGCTATTCTTTGTCAAAATTTATAAGGATTGCGTGTCCAGACAGTATTGAACCATACAGCAAGCTCACAAGATTAAAAACCAGGTATGACACAAATCTTCAATTTGTTCCAAAGTATTTGCAAAATGTTCTATCTGTATAACTATATTCAGGCACACAGAAATAAATTTTGAATGTTACACTGCTCATACAAAAACACACATTAGAATACAGCTCCGTGGCAGCAAATGCGTTAGCTTCTGAGTATCCCACATACCTCAATTATGGGACCAGGGAACTGAGACTAGAGCCAACTGGAGTGCAGTGGAATGCTCTCTTTCCTTGCTTCCCACCCATTCTTCAGCTTTCCTGAAACTGCCTTCCACAAGGACAGTAGTGACCTCTTTAATCCTAAAGCTAATGGATGCTTCTTAAGTTCCCCTCCAACATGACTTTCTGGGCAGCAACAACATCTATGGCCCTAGAGACATCCCTCTCTCCTGGTTTCCCTGCCCTTGCCACAGCAACATTTCTGTCAAATATTTCTATTGCTCAGTTTCCTCCTTAACGAGTTGAGTTCTTCAGGGTTACAACTGATAAACTTTCTCTTAGCCTCCCAATTCCCATAGGCAAACTTATCTACTTCCATGACTTCAATTACTGTCATTTTAAAATCTGTATCTTCTAGCCCAGGCTTTTCTACTGAGTTCCGGAGCCAAAGCTCTAGCTGCCTAATGACACTTCTACTTGTAACTCTCACAAGTACTTCAAACAGAAAATATTTAGAGTTGAGCCTGGCATCCTTCAACTTCATTCCAAGCTCTGCCAATGGTCATATGTTCCTACCACAGTGATATAACTTATAAAAAAAAGTTGTCTCTCTACTAAGTATTTCATCATCTACATAAAATCTGGCAGGATTTCAGAAATGTGTAGACATTTTTGAAATGTAAATCTCTCACATAATCCTAAGTTGTGTTTTGGAGTCAGAGTTTTACTCTGTCACTCAGGCTGGAGTGCAGTGGGATGATCACGGCTACTGTAGCTGTGATTGTTGCACTGCATCAAAATTGAGGAGCTCAAAATGACACCAAAATTGAGGAGTTCAAAAACTGTTTTGAGCAGTGGAAAAACCATCTCGATAGATATAGTGTATCAAATGGAGAGTACTTTGAAGATGACAGAAGTTTAAACATGTAAGAATAAATATATATTTTTAATAAGTAAATTCTGGGGTTTTTGGGTCCCCCCTTTGCAAATCTAGAAAATGCTTCCTTATGTTCACTCAATATGTCCTAGAACTGTTCTCAGCGGTGTGCTTTGGAAACAACCAAAATACCATCAACAGTATAAATAACAGCAGGTGTGTTCATAAAATGAAGTGCTATAGAACTCAATGGACATTGATCCTTGCACAGGTAAAGTCGGGGCCTCACTCTGGTCCTCACTTCGCCTGGTTTGAGAGGTACCCTCACCCACATCTTTAAAATAAAAAAAAAAAAGAAATCAATGGAGAGGAAAGAACTACTACTACACGTACCACAACTAAGTTTACAAACGTAATGCTAAGCAAAGGAAGTTAGGTGCAAAGAGACACATATTGTATGATGCCATGTATTCACAGTTCAAAAATAGGACAAATTAAACTAGGCTGTAAGGAGTCCCAGATGTGGGACTGGGGAAGGGGAAAGGAGATACAGTGATCAGGGGTCAAGGGTGCAACTGGGATGCTGAAAGCATTCTACTTCTTGATCTTGGTGGTAGTTTCTTGGGTGTATTCAATTTGTGGTAACTCATGAAAGTATCCACTTTGGATTTATGCTGTCTTTACGTCTATTATACTTCAATAATAATGTATATTTCAAAAGAAAAATCCCACAGTCCTACTGTGCAACAAAGGTAATCATCCCTAACCTATTCCTCCCCTCCTGGAGCCACTTAGTTCTTTAAGCTTTCTTCCAATATTTCATATATTTTTAAGTAACGAGCTTAGACTGAAGTTTCTTTTTAAAAAAAATTAGCTTCTTGGTTTTTAATCTGAAATATGTATGAACTTCCTATTACAATAACATTTGTTTTTTAGGTAACTTTTTGTTTTTATTGCAGTTAACAATGATGCCACCTATCCCTCCTTTAAGGAGTCTCCTGCCTTCAGTTCCCTGGTATCATCAATGCTCAGTACCCCCATCCCCTCCAGGGTTTTTCAGCACAAATCAGCTTGCTTCTGGCTGGCTTCCTAAGCCCTCAGGTTTCAGTTCACTGGGCTCTTATCAGTTATCTGCATCTGTCTCCTTCTAGCTTCAAAAATTTCACTGACATTTCATTGCCATCTCTTATTCTCTTTGACCTTTTTTTATTCCTTTGTTCTGGTGGGATTTCAGGGGTCAGATATAATCCTAGAAATCTATAATTACCATTACTTTATAGTCTAATGGTGCAATTCCAAGTGGTTTGGGGCAATCCTATTTTATTGACTTTGTATGGTTGTATTTGGCCCAGTCATAAGCATTTGGAAAGTGCTCGAAAATTATATGGTCAACTGCAGGAGGAAACAAAGCCAGGTGTCTTGGCAAATGAACGGACTCCCTCCCACAGCCCCCAGGTGGCCTAAATCTGCCCCACGGCATCACAAGGGTCGAGTCTCACCTGTGTAGTGCTCGTTTCCTTGAGCAGCACAGGTCAGCAGCTGAGCCATGGAGGAGCCTACTGCTTTAGATGTGCTTCCCAGGTCCTGAGCACATTTTTCCAGCTATAAGAATATTTGAAGAAGAAGAGGACTTTTTAGAAGAAAAGAAACATCCATGAAGGTCTTAGCACAATTTAGAAAAATAACGCAAATCAAATCTTGAGCCTGGCTCTTTCCCACCTGATGCACCACTGGTTGCTAAGAAGCAGCGGGGTGATAGGGAGAAGGAGCCTAAGCTTTAGGGCAGAGAAATCTGGGTGCAAATCCCTGCCCTCTCCCCCACAATTACTAGTGTGAGATTGGATAAGTCACTGAACCTCTCTAAGCCTCAGTTTCCTGAGGAGATCCTAATACCTAGTTCAGAAGGTCTTCAGAGAATGACTATAAAGTACCAGCAAATGGTAGCTATTAGTATTATGCCTTTAGAAGCAAATTTACAAAGTGCAACAAATCCTTAGCAGGAATTAATTATGCCTTGGCAGAAGTAGGCAGACATCCAGCTGTACCACCTTCCTGGCATGCAGGACCATTAGCATGGTTCAATTTGATTATTATACTTTGAGGAGTTTCAATGGCAAAGAAATGCAATCGAAAGACAGGGTTGGAGTGGTAAACGAGATGATGACAATGGGCACCGTGCTTGCTTCCCATGAATAGCATGGCATCTTGCTTTTGTGAATAGCATGGCATCTTGCTTTGTAAACTGAATAAAAATTCAGAGAACAAACTTGGTCAAGGCCTAGGGTAGGGATAATTATTTGATTACTAGATGAGGAAAACATTTTGGAAGAGAATTTCTAAGAGCACCATGAGAGTGCAAAAGGCATCAGAAAACAAATGCTTTTTTTTTTTTTTTCGAGTTGGAGTCTCACTGTGTCGCCTAGGCTGGAGTGTGGTAGCACGCTCATGGCTATCCCAGCATTGACTTGCTGGGCTCAGGTGATCTTTCTGTTTCAGCCTTCCAAGTAGCTGAAACTACAGGCTTGTGCTACCATACCCAGTTAATTTTTTGATTTATTGTAGAGATGAGGTCTTGCCAAGTTGCCCAGGCTGGCCTCAAACCCATGGGCTCAGGCAATCCTCTTACCTCGGCCTCCCAAAGTGCTGGGATTACAGGCTTGAGCCACCGTGCCTGGCCAATAAATGCATTTTTAACCTTGCAACAAGGTTCCCAAGAGAGGCGGTGCCTTCAAATAAAAAACAAAGCTCAGCCCAATAGAGTCAACAATGTTAGGACACAGAACACATGTTTTTTAGGCAATTTATTTAAACACTACATGGCATTTCTTGCACTCTAACTGACCAGTTGTTCTGTGTAAAGGTGCATGTCCTGCCAGACTCTTGGGCTCCCTGGAGTACAAAAATTTGCAAAGAGACAACTTTGCAAAGATGCTGGCCTGGGAGCCAGTCCCAACTCTGTCTTTAGCTGAGTGATCCTAGTGAAGTGATGTAACCTCTCTAAGCCTATTTCTTCACCTCTACAATTGAGGGTAACTTAATTTAATAATTTTTTCCTGAGTGCTTCCTGTGTACCAGGCACTATTCTATGGTATATTTGATGCTCCTGAAACCCATTTACATCCTAAAAATCTCTAGTTCATTCAACAAGTAGCAGTGGTTAAGAGCAGAAGTTCTCAAGAGCACAGGTTACAGAGTGCTGCAGATCTGGGTTCAAACCTTGGTTCTGCCACTTACTGGCAGATAACACTGTACAGAAGAGTGACAACCTCTGTGCTTCTGCTTTTACAGCTGTAAACGAGGTTAGGAAAACTCACTCCTTAAGGTTACTAGCGGGATAAACTAGACTGTGTATGTACAGCGCTTAACAGGTGCTTAGTAAATGGTATTTCATCAGCAACGGTCAGTATTGTGGGGAGCAAGGATATACAAATGAGAAAGGCTGGTAAAATGTTAGCCAAGAAAACCCTGACATAAACTTCAGGAGGTATCACGATAGGATCAGTTGAGCTCTCTGGTGCCATTCTTCCTTTTGCAGTTGTGGCTTGATGTATGAAAGTGCTTTGCCGTTGTTCATGGTATTAAGCAAATGCTTTTTTAAAAAAATGACTGTACTCATACCTAATCCTGACTTGAACCCCACATGTCTATAATAAGTAAAAAAAATAATTAAAAATTTAAAAATAACTGTTGATAGTCTTTTCTGTGTTTAGCATTATAACCGCATTGCCACCCATTTCATAGATAAAACACTTGAGACTAGGAGGAGATAACAAACTTATCCACAGCTGCTTGATGGTGCAGCAGGGTTTAGAACCCAGCTCTGCAGTAGTCCAACCCGAGTTCATCCTTTTCCGTAAAGGCCACCAGGTTAGAAACTTCTAAGCATGCCTCAGTATTTAGCAAACATCATCATGACAAGCTATTTAGCACCATTGTAACAGAAGGCAGATCCACACCCCAGTGGCTCTAGTGGCTCACCGTCTCCCCTGGAAGTGGCTTCAGCTGGCTTTCCACGGCAGCCATCTTGGCATCCTGCAGCTCATTCTTCAGTGCCTGCACAGCGTTCAGAGCCGAATCGATCTCCATAGGACCACAAGCTTCATGGGCCTGTCGAGAGAGTTGGGGACACGTGTAAACAGTCTGCTTGGGAAAAGCATCCCCCGAACTTCATGACATGTAAAATGCCTTTCTACACATCCAACGAATCTCCAAATCTAGCAGGAGGAGGCCAGGGAAACAAGTATTTTTCCCAAGAGAACAAAATCATCCTCAGTTAGAACCTTAGTCTTAAGTTCCCAATGTAATCAATTATGCATGTCTCATGATTAGGTATACTTAAAGTCCTCTTGAAGCTATTTTTTATTTGGAATACACTTGGCTCTTGGGCTTAGTGGACCCTTTATTCACTGTGGCTGGGTTCTAGGGATAGGACAGTGCTCTCCAGTCATATATGTATAAACAGAGGCTTGCCAAGTGTGGGGCAAATGAACAAACCAATGCAGGACTCTGGAGCAAGTCTATAGCAACCTAATGAATTCTCCTTATAAACTTCTAGACCATAAATCATTATCTTTTTATGCTGAGGATTATAATTTTGTCTTAATAATTTGTTTTAAGAAAACTAAGTTCATTCTCTTTTAGAACATGGGTCATCTAGAACATTTAGAACCTTAGTCTCCAAATGTTTTGATTGCATGCCCCCATACACACATGTAAACAAATTTTATACACATGCAATGATGGGCCAGTATACTAAATACTGGTAAATCTTCATTCCTTTCTTTTTTTAGTCAGTAGTAACAACAGTAGCAGTAAATACTAATTCATTCATTTCTATATGCTGGTATTACTTGGTAAGGAAACTGAGCCACACAGGTTAACTAACTTGCCTAAATCACAAAATTAGTCACTGGCAGGGCCAGAATTTGAATGTCAACAGTCTGGTTCCAGAGATTGCACTCTTTTTGGAGTTGGAGTCTCATTCTGTCACCCTGGTTGGAGTGCTGTGGCACACTCACAGATACCCCAGCATCAACCCACTGGGCTCCAGCAACCCTTCCACCTTAGCCTTCCAAGTAGCCAGAACTACAGGTACACACTACTATGCCTGGCTAATTTTTAAATTTATTGTAGAGGTGAGATCATGCCAAGTTGCCCAGGCAATCCCAGAGCCTGCATTCCTAATCCTTACACTATATATTTTTAAAACGTGAAAGCTCTCACAATGGCTTTCTACACCTGGTGGGCAGTTGTGCTTGAGCCCACCTGGGCATCACTGCTCCCAAGCAGCCGTTTGACCTTGGTGTGTGCCTCAGATGCGGCAAGGAGTCTCTACTAAATGTAGAGGTTCAGGCCCCACCGCCAGAAATTCTGACTTGGAGACTCAGAAGTGAGGCCCAGGGACTCGCGTTCTCATAGGCTCCCCAGGTGACTACGGGGCAGATGGTACCAGGACTTTTCTTTCAGAAACACAGCTCAACGTGCTTTTCTTTTCATTTTTTTTGAGTTGGAGTCTCACTCTGTCATCCAGGCTGGAGTGCAGTGGCACGCTCCTGGCCACTGCACCCTTGACCTGCTGGGCTCTGGTGATCCTTCCACCTCAGCCTTCCGAGTAGCTGGAACTACAGGCGTGCACTACCATACCTGATTAATTTTTGATTTATTGTAGAGATGAGTTATCACCAAGTTGCCCGGGCGGGTCTCGAACCTGCAGGCTCAGGCAATCCACTCGCCTTGGTCTCCCAAAGTGCTGGTATTACAGGCTGAGCCACCGAGCCTGGCCTCAACATGCTCTTCTAAAGTTCTGGACATTTTTCTTTGGCAATGTGATGTGCTGCTCATATTAAGAATTCAAGTCTGCTTCTACCTTTTTCCCATATGAATTTATGCTACTTTTTCTATAAAGGGATCACTACAATGAGGAAAAATTGAATTCGTGCAAGAACTTCACACTAATATCACATCAAACAGAGTAGTAATGAGGGTCTTTGGTAATTAATACATTCCAGAGACAGAAGTTCACTTAGTTCCTAATTCTGTTAAGGTTGAGCACCTTATTAAAGTGAATGCTTAGACAGGCTTGGTGGCTCAGCCTGTAACCCCACGCCTTTGGGAGGCTGAGGTGAGTGGATTGCCTGAGCCCGTGGGTTCGAGACCCGCCTGGGCAGCGAGACCTCATCTCTACAATAAATCAAAAAAATCAGCCGAGCATGGTAGCGCATGCCTGTAATTCCGGCTACTCAGAAGGCTGAGGCGGAAGGATTGCTGGAGTCCAGCAGGTTGAGGCTGCGGTGGCTGGGAGCGGCCACTGCACTCCAGTCTGGGAGACCGCGTGAGACTCCAACTCAAAAAAAAAAAAAAAAAGTGAATGCTTTCATGTATGATGTGAACACTTTTCAGGGCAAAAAATATAACAACAATGATTTCCTAAAATAAATTTTTCTGCCTAAGTAGTTTGTTATTAACTTCACAAGATGATACTTGGAAGATACATCACTTATGTTGGCCTATAATTTACCTGGCACTGAGACACTGATGATGACTAATCTCCCCTAAGACTGCAAAAAACAGACCAATGCGCTTGTCTCAGGATATGAGAGAAGGAGGAGAAAGCATACAATGTAAAATAGCTTTAAAAAAGTCATCGGAAACTGAAAGGTGATAACTAAGTCTGGAGACTGTGGCTTCCTGCAGTAAAAGCCAACCCACAGGGGCATCTTGAATAGCCACGCCAGTGGGATGGACAGCTCTGCCAAGAAATAGGTCCAGCAGTGTCCAGCCCTAACCAGCGCCCACGCCCCCCAGCTCCATTCCTGATGAGCCAACTGCCATGACAAGATTCCACTTGCCTTCTGTGAGGCTGTGCGTAGCTCCGCCAAGCTTGTGGCCAGGTTCTTGGCGCACTGACTCAGTTGCATGGCTGCGGCCTGGTCACTCACGGTGGGCACTGCAGCTTTGGCAGAGGACACCATCTTGCTTCCAGGCTGCAGAGAGAGGAGAAGAAGGGAGTAAAGAGGGCTCCTGGGCAGCAGGAGGCAGAGAGGAGACACCCAGACAGCAGGGAGGAGAGTCCCAGACAGCAATGCTTCCAAAACAATCACAACTTAGTTTGCCCTAAGAAAAGGAATATTAAACAACGAGTCCCCACTAACCCCAAGCTGCCACCCAAATCAGATACTCTAAGGCAGTTCATTCTGGGAATGTTTTGTGTGTGTATGAGAGAGAAAGAGACAGATGGGAGAGCAGAGGAGTCAAAATTAGGAGAGTGGCTTGAAATTCTCATCTAAAATGGGTTTCTTTGTGTTTCTTGGAATGGCTCTTTACTGTATCAGATAGCCCCAATAGACTATTTAGAAAAATGAAGGTAGATAATAAAATGACCTCACATCTCTCAAACCAAAATAATTTCACTATGCATGGATGTCTGTGTGTATGTGCATATTATTTTCAAAAACAAGATCATATTATTTACTCTATTTTGCAATCTCGTTTCATATATTCTACCTTTTTAATAGCTATGTAGTATTCCATTGCAAATATCTGCTACCACTTCTTAATTCCCTATCATTGGGCATGTTTCCATTTTCTACTGCAATCAATGTAGATAAACACCTTTGTAGGTAACTCTTTGCATGCATGCATGTATTTTTTTGAATAATTTTTTAAAAAGTGGAATTTCTGAATCAAAGAAAAATGGTAACAAATTTAAGTGTCAGATCATAAATACTAAGGACAAAAGTTAATATTTTATTATTTTATTTATTTATTTTTTGAGTTGGAGTCTCATTCTGTCACCCAGGCTGCAGTGCAGTGGCACACTCATGGTCATCCCAGCATCGACCAACTGTGCTCAGGTGATCCATCCACCTCAGTCTTCCAAGTAGCTGGAACTACAGGCACATGCTACCACACCCGGCTAAAAAAGTTAATATTTTTAATGCTTAAAGAATTAATAAATATGTATAAGCAAAACCAGCATGCGTGGACAAAAAGCATGGATAGAGATAGTCACATCAAAAAATAAGTGATGCATATGAAAGATGTCAAACTGTGAAAATCAAAGACATGCAAAATCAAACAAAAAAAAACCTTGCAGAGCACATTGGCAAAAATTTATGTTTTCTTAAAGGCTTAATTCCCCATCTCATAAAAGACATATTAAAAAGCATGCTCCGTATACAGCTAAGTTGTAAATTTAGAATTGTTCAACCTTCTGGAAGGGCAATTTCACAACATGCTTGAGGAAAGTTTAAAATGAACAAACTTCTTGATCTATCAATTGCATTTATATTTATGTTTAACCTTGTCTTTTTCTTGTACAAATCTGAGTGTCTACAACAGCAAGGTGAAAAGAACAAAATAAAAAGAAAAAACAAGGCAGGAACAGAATGGAACCAGAAACACGTCTATACTGCTCCATCATAATGTCCTACAATCCAGTTCAGGTGGGGACAACACCCACAAGTGAATCGAAGCTCTCTATTCATCTACATGAAAAGAGGAATACTTTGTCCACATCATAATTTGCAGTGTCTCAAAGGTAAAAATAAGTTGCTTGCAATTCTATTTCTAGGACTTTACCCTGAGGAAATCATTCAAGAAGGGAGCAAAAAACTTTGTGTGCGCAAATCTTGATCATATCACAGGTTACTCATGATGGCAAAAAATTACAATGAACATCCAAGGATGGGCGAATGAATGCAGAATATGGCCAAATGCTATTCAAAATAATAAATGCTCATAATATGTTATATGTAAATCACACAGGGTCTATATACAGTAAATCCCAATTTAAAATAATAAATATACACATACATGCATTAACTTTGTGTGTGTATGTACGAGAGGAGACCCAAGAAAAACAGAATGTTCAAAATTATGTATTTGTTCTTAAATTGTTTAAGCTTCAGCCACCTTTAAAGTACTTACTCTTCGTTTGATCAATATACCTATTGAGATGTGTTTTCCACTGCTCAATAACAGTTTTTGAACTTGTCAATTTTGATGCCTTTTAGTGCTTTTGCCGTTTTTGTTTCACCTCTTCCACATTGGCAAAACGTTTCCTTTTGAGGACTGCTTTCATCCAGGGAAACAACACAAAGTCGCTCGGGGCAAGACTGGGTGAAGAGGGAGGGTGGGGCACAGGGACCATGCCATTTTTGGTCACCAACTGCTGAACACTCAGCGCGGTGTGGGCAGGTGCCCTCGTAAATCACCCACTGTGAAATGGACAAACACGTTGAAAGAATCTCCACACAAAAAACTCACTGAAGCCAAATGCAGCCTCTCACAACAACACTAGCTGGTTCACAGATGCAGATGGGTTCCTAGAACACTTACCTTGTAGAGGAAGCCTGTATTACAAGGGGCCTGCCCTCCAAAAAGCTAATTTTGGTGTTTTTTGGTTTTTTTTTTTTTGGCTTCCCTCAGATGTAGTTAAAACTTGAGAAAATACATTAAGATGCTCATTTTATTTCTGCCTATTGGAGTTAAAGCACTGGAAAATGAACCACACAGAAATATCACTGAGTCTTACAACTACTGGCTGACTAGAAAATGATGAGGACTGGAACTGTCTATCTATCTTATCAACTGCTTATCGGATCCAAGTAGAGAGAAAGTGCTGAGAAAATAGAGATTTAAATATACGAGGCAAGAAAAGGTGTTCTCCTACAACTTAATATTTCCACATAGTCAATTTCCCTTAAAATGAATCTATCCCTCACCCCTAAAAAGACTGACAGTACTGACTAGCTATATAATTGCCACAAAACCGATCACATCTTTGGAGAAGATGAGCTTACCGCTTCCTTTTTACCAGTCTGCGAACACATGAGGTCTGACAATGAGGCTCGCGAACCATCTTAGAAAAAGTGCTGTGTACCTCATGGTTGAATCATTATGGTCACCTTCGAAGTCCTCCCCTTGGGAAGCTATGCACCATTGCCAGTGCCTAGTCCACCCATCAAAGCAAGTTTGGAACTCTTTTTCTGGAATGGCCATCAGGGCTGTCGTCGTTACTTGCTGAGGCCTGACAATTAAGTTCGAGCACTTATGTCGGCAGCACTGCACAAACAACTATATTGGAATACCCTCCCTACTCGCCTGATATGGCCCCCAATGACTTTTTCCTTAACCTGAAGATAAAGGAAACATTGAAAGGAAGACATGTGATGACATTCAGGACATTCAGGGTAACACGACAACGGCTCTGATGTCCACTCTAGAAAAAGGGTTCCAAAACTGCTTTGACGGATTGGCCTAGGCACTGGCATCGGTGCATAGTTTCACAAGGGGAGGACTTCGAAGGTGACTGTAGTGATATTCGGCAATGAGTTATGGAGCATTTTTTCTAGGATGAGTTCACGAACATAATTGTTGGACTTCATAGCATTAGGCTCTCTGGAAACCAGGAAATCTAAAGCAATGCTTAGTCCTAGGCTGCATCATAACTTGCAACTTCTTGCATGTTTTCTCTCTTAGGAGAGAAATAAAAACAATACTCCTGAGAACAGGCCATGTGCCTTCTCCCCAAGGCAAATTCCTTGCAATTGAGCATTTCACATTGCCAAGCTGAACCCACCTCTTCTGAAACTGGGAATGTAAAGAGGCGGCCTTCAAGGCCTGCCTATTGCAAGACTTAGCTAAGGTTACGGAATTCGTTAATTCCTCTCCTTTAAGGGTAGCCCCTGTCCAGCAGGGGGCTGTGAGTATGCTCAAGGTGACCATGTCTGGGTTACCTGGAGGAAGTTCTGGCTGGAGATGATGAGAGCCAGCTGGGCACTGAGATCTTCTGCTTGAGCCTGGCTCCCTCTCACTCCCTGGACCAGCTGAGGGATGTGGTCAGCCACTGCCTGCAGATGGAAAGGAAATAAAAACTGAGTGCAGCTGGAAGGGTAGAACGAACCAAAGAGGTTAGAAAGTGACGGGTGATGTGCCTTTTGGACATGCCATGCACTTCCAGGGGATGCCAGTCCCAGGCCTGGGACTGGCACAGCACACTGAGCCAGCCAGGTCCCGACCAACATGGAATCTCATTTGCTGGGTGCCTTTCGCTACATACACACTACCCTGTGGTCCTGAAGATCTCAGTGCATTCCTCAGAGGATGATCCTCTATAATGAGGTTTTGAAAGGATTTCTTTAGTTGCAACTCACATCCTCTTGGCCAGTGGGGCTGCAAATTTAGAATCAAAGGACCTACACAATCCACAGATGGAAAAACTGAAGTCCCATGATCCCATGATCAGAAGAAGATGAGAGAAATACTCGGCTCTCAGTATCTGTCAGTGTTCTGGTCTCTCTCTTTTCAGGCACACACTCTGCACATGGTGTCCTGTTGTCATGGTCCTTTTTTCTCTAAGGAGTACTTCTTATTTCTCAGACTGGAAAACCAAAGCCAGGGTAGAGGAGAGAGGGCAGCATTCCGCAAGGCAGGATGCTGTGAAGTGACGTCTCCTCTGGTGCCTCCTCAGGAGACGAGCCCTTTTCCTTTCTGTGATCTGTCTGCATTTCCCATCTGTGCCCACATGCCATCTGACTAACCAGACTCTCAGAGGTCACAGCACTGCAACTATCACTGCTGATAAAGGCACCTAGTACATATTGGCCAAGTGACACTTTTTTTTTTTTCCAGGAAGGGTTAAAAAAGTCTTTCCAGGGAATTCTCCTCAGGTCCCTTCCAGCACTGGTGGTTCCAGGAATCTGGTCCACTCTCCCCTCTTCATCTCAATCCTCTCATTTCCTGGCAGTGACACTCCAAGACTTAGTATCTTCAGCTTCTTTGCAAAGGAAAGGTAGGAGGGCTCACCATCCTGCGGCATCTCCCAGACACAAGTAGGCCTTGCTCCCTGAGGAGGGGGAATGCCATGTAGCCAGCCAGCCCTGCTGGCAGCTGAGCTAAGGCCCCAATGGGAAACAAATTCCCCCAGGGCAGGAGCCTCACTCTCAGCAAGACCTCTCCTCCATCCACACAGGACCCAAGGACACTGGGCCCAGGAACCTCCTGTATTGCAGAGACTTTTTCTTTTTTTTTTGAGTTGGAGTCTCACTCTGCCACCCAAGCTGGGGTGCAGTGGCACGCTCACAGCTACTTCAGCCTTGACCTGCTGGGCTCAGGCCATCCTTCCACCTCAGCCTTCCAGAGGCTTTTTCTAGAGAGCACACTCGGCCTTCAACAGCGGGGTTGACCTTGGAGAACACGGAATCAGGAACAGAGGGCTCCAGGTGGCTTTCCCTCAGAAGTAAAGTCGTTTCTGAAGTAGAAGCAGCAAAACCCCTTACGTGTGAATCATTATTTTACAGAGGAGATTGGAAGAAGGAGAGAGGGCAGTTAGCCCTCGGACCTTAAGCACAGGCAGACATGCCTTGCACCCAGGTCCCACGGTGAACAGCAAACACTATTCAGGACATGCCAGTCGTGCCGCTCACATGTGGGCAGTGGCTCCATGGCTGGATTTTGTGTCTGCCGCCATTCCGAGGCGTCCTGGGAGAGGCAACTCCCTGGGTCCTCAGGGAAGGCAGCAAGGATCTTTACCATGCCCTTTGTAGTAAGCCAGCCTCAGCCTAGCATCCAGGTTCAGGTGTCAGAAGAACAGAGACAATGGGCAACCACAGAAAGCACCAAAGTGCAATGTCACAGAGGACAAACAGGATGAAACAGATCCTTGAGGTGGAATTAGTAGAAAGTAGGAAATCAACCCTACTACAGTGAGCAAAGGTTGAATGCAAGGCCCGCCTCTCAAAGAGAGATGCTCTGGAAATTCAACGCTCCATTACTTTTTACGGAGCCCTAAAATGGCCTTACCATTGATCCTCTTGGATTCAGTCTCTCAAAAAGAAAAAGATGTAGACACAGCTGGGGAAAAAAAATTCTCCTCCCAACACAGGCCATCCACTTAATGGACAAAAACCAGACGTGTGTACGTACACCTGGAACATGGGAGCCAGAAGAAACTGGATTAGGGGCCTGGGTAATGTGTTTTAACTGAATTACCAGGGCACGTGGCATTCTAACGCTATCAGGGCCATCTGCAGCAGACCTGGCTCACGGTGCACCAGAACCTCACCTTGCAGCTCTGAACCAGCTGCTGCTGGGCTGCGGGGTTCTTGTTGGAAACGGCTGCGTTCTGAGAGGCGGCGATGGTCTGTGTGGCCGCTGCTGCGGCCTGCTTGGCTGCAACCTACAGAGGAGAGTGACCCAGGTGAGTCAGGATTTGCATGTGCAAACAGACACCCATGCATGTTCTACATGTCACTGCCACCATGGGGCTCACATAGGTTTGCTGCACGAGAGGAACTCCAAGAACAGACTCTGCCTTTTCAAACCATGGACAATCCGAACCTCAAGACAATCTGCTAGATTTCTAGGGCTGACATTCCCTGGGGCAAGTGATAACGACAGGAATGCTTGGAAGCTTAGGTCCTGATGTTTATTTCTTTCTCAAAAAGGCTAGGGACAATTCCAAGACTCTGATGACACTGATACGCGGCACCAAGACTAAGTGTTTTAGAATAAGAGGCACAGACTGTTGGGTGTCAAGCATGAACTCGGTGCCCATGAATGGCCTCTAACAATGCTCAGTAATTTTGGCCCCGAAATGCAAACACTGTCCCACTGGGGCACTTCATCATGTTTGCCTCCTCTTCTCTTTCAAGAACAACAAAGTTCATCTTCTTCCAGAACCCGGCAGATGTACATGGAAGGATTCTCATTAGATAAGCAGGTTCTTGGCTTCCAACTCCTCCCCATTCAAATGCTAACACAAGCGTCTCCTGTGCATACATATAAGAGAATTCTTTTCTTACATAGTTTGTGCCTATTACTATTTTCAACTTTTTTTCAGAACAAATATTCCAAAGAATGACAAAAATACTACTTCGTACTCCCTTCCACACCTCCCCACCCAAGTTTGCTCTCCATTTCCTATCTTCCAGAGACAATAATTCCTATGGGAAGTCCTGAAAACATCCTCCAACAAAATATCAACATTTTCAGCGAAAGTCCTTTCTGAATGTGTACATCCCTTATTAATGCTAGAAAAAAAAAAATCTTGGTTCCTTCTGAAAAAATAGTATACATTCTGTTCCTAAGCATTAAACTCAAGAAGGAAGCTATTTTTCCAACTGTGTCAATGCCTTTAAAGTACCTAAACCATCAATGCTGTTAACCTTGATTATGCTTTCTTTATGAGATTACACTTTAATTTATGCTTTCTTTTTCTTGCAGTTATTTTTTCCCCCAAATAACTCTTTGTAACCTCAAATGAGCATCCCAGAAAGCCAGTTTCCTTCCTGACCTCCAGTCGGTTGACGATTTTTTTCTTAATGGCGTTCTGGGCAGCGGCATTGGTTGCTACTCGGAGGCCTTCTGCAGCTTCTCTCAGCCTTTGCTGCTGGTCCTCATTTTCTGGATTGGCTGCGGCCCCCTGAAAAGGGGAAAATGAAGATTTCAAGTGATCCAGGGGCACAGTCACTGAATTCATGCTTTCAAAACTACTTTTTCTTGGGAATAGAAAGCATTTGGAAGGACTGCCAAATGCTGCAAGCGATAACTTTATGATGAAGATGCTTCATTTTGTAACAAAAATGTCTACCAGGGGATGTTTCAAAACGGCATGGCTAAACAGTTAGAAATCCAAGGTAATAATTAAATACTTGACATCACAGCCTTAGTTGTCCATACAAATTAACTTGCAGTCAGAAACCCACGGTTTAAAAGATATTAAGCTAAATCTCCCCTCCCCCAGTCTCTCTCATGGAGAATTTTATTTTCATTGGCACAACAGACACAGTAATGATACATGTCTTCACATCGTTGCAGAAATGATCTCACCAGCAAATGTGAAGGGCAAAAAGTCCAGTATAAACTCATAGGTGGGAGTGGAAGGAGGCGGGGAGAGGTGTGGGAATGCCATTCAAAAGGACAGTAAGGAAATGTTAAAGAAAGACCACGCCTAGAAATCACATTCCTGGAAAGCTGGAGTAGGAAAGTACAGCTGAGTACAGGTGGTACCCAACTGCACTGAATTAATGAGAGAATCTGATGCCTGAACCTGGAATGAGAAGAAGAAGGTATCATGCACAGACTGCCACCATACTTTTCTTCCAGTCCCACAGTCTTTCTACTGTGTTGTTTTAGTTGAAACGTGTCTTAGAAATAAGCCGGGCTCAGTGGCTCAGCCTGTAATCCTGTGCCTTTGGGAGGCTGAGGTGAGTGGATTGCCTGAGCCCGCGGGTTCGAGTCCCGCCTGGGCAACTTGGCGAGACCCATCTCTAGAATAAATTAAAAAATCAGCCGGGCGTGGTAGCGCGCGACTGTAGTTCCAGCTACTCGGAAGGCTGAGGCGGAAGATCGCTGGAGCCCAGCAGGTCGAGGCTGCGGTGGCTGGGAGCGGCCACTGCACTCCAGCCTGGGTGACAGAGTGAGACTCCAACTCAAAAAAAAAAAGAAAAAAACAAACAAACAAACAAAAAGAAATCTAAATAGACTTTCTACAGATGGGTGGAATTCTGAAGTAAGGAGAGACAGTCAATGTAGGGGAGGATATAATAATTCAACACAGGCTTAAGGTGCATCCAGCCTTCCTCTCCCAGCAGCAATCAACATGTCTCTCATAGGCTTGGGTATTCTGTAAAATGTACTTGATGTATACAGATCAACGAGCTCCTATGAACACTTTAAGTCATGTCAATTTATCAAAAATCAATTTTCTGAACAGCTAGATATTCCAAATGGCCAATTTGCCAAATTTACTAAATTACAAGGACCTGCTTTTTTTTTTTTTTAACTATTTGTAAAAGGTTATATAGCAATTTATCCTGGATGGAGTAGTTTTAACATCTGTGCCAGAATTGCTTTGGCAGTCTGCTTGAATAGAATCTCTTATTATTTCAAACATTAACTCTTATAGCCTTGATTTTGTATTTCTAATGATTAAAACCTTTATTTCTGTATGTCCCATGTCAAAGGATCCTTTGGGTTACTTTTGCATTCTTTGTCAAGTTTGTGAGTCTCTCTATTTTTTCTGGCCATTAGGTATGTTTTAAGCCACTCTTTTATTTAGGCCTCAAGTTGTATATCAGCATTAATTCTATATTTTGAGCAACTGAAAAGCAAAATTTCTGCACTTCACATGGATATGGGTGCTGCAGATTCTAGCTCAGCAATGTCTTTTTTTAATGACAATGTGTCAGATATGGGCACAAGTAATCTTGGCCTGAAATCTCAGTTACTAGCTAGGAAAGACTTTTTCCACACAGTAAACATATTCTTCATAAGTCTAAGCATTGAACATTCTTTGCCTTTCAACAAGATTCAGCAAATTAAAATACTATGAAGACAAAATGATGACATCTAACTACAAATTAAAATAATTTACAGATACATGCAACACTCTCTCACTTAATAAAAATACCAAAAATCACTTAAATACTTAGAAAACACAAGTTTTTGGTAACCTGGTAAATTCAGTGAACTGGCCTGGTGAACAGTAACAGCAAGAGAAACAAATGTGCACAGCAGTTTGGCTCAGCCCTGTTATGCGACACTGGGCTTAATCTTTTTGAATATTAATTTTTTTTCCTATATAAGATAAGGAGTTGAGTAGCTTTTTCCCTACAGTTCTTTCCAGCCTAGCAAGTCACTTTCTGTGAACATGAGGGGTTTGCTTGAAATAGTTATGTGTAAACTTGGGGAGGGGGTGGGAACTAGCAAAACCTTTAAAAACATTAACTATTATACAAAACCCTAACACATGCTATATATATTATAAACTCTAATATATTTTTTAACCACCTAAATGAGGGTGGTTAAAGGCAGAACTTCTTGGCTGAAACAGGTATCAGGAGACAAAAGAAGGGAGTTCAGACCCCGCCCCTCCTTGGTCTCTCCTTCAACCTGGCCAACGAGGTATCTCTAAGAATTCCCAGTTCCTCAGGCAACACGATGGCAAGTTTAGCCAAGACAGGTCCTCTACATGGCTCACTGCATGTCAATACATTTTAAATGAAGTAATTCACATACAGGGTTGACAAACACTGCTACTCTGTCAAAGGCAAGGCGATAGGATAAGATGTGGCAATGCTTAATGAGTCTTCTATGCACAGAAATACATTAAAAATATTATCTTAGTAGCTAAAATTGAAAGCAATTTTTATTTTCTTTTGTTATATTTATCTGCATTTTCTATTAAATCCACAAGAAATGTGTGCTAGATGCATTAAAAAAAGACACACAGAAAACACACCATATCCATTTAAAACAGTTCTTACCTCTAATTCTGAGATATACATCAGAATATTCTGTGGAACTTAAACACACACATACACACATGCACACACACATACACACATGCACACACATGTATACAGGGTCCCACCAGTGACCTTGTAAATCTAAATTTTGGGGGGGGGTGAAACCAAGGCACGTGCATTTTGATATGTTTCACAGTATGCTGTGAAACAGGTCCCTGGTTAAGGATCACTAGCTTTTAGAAGTATTACGCTTTAGCATAGCTGTCAAAAAGTACAAGCTAGCTGGGCACAGTGGCTCATGCCTGTAATCCCAGCACTTTGGGAGATGGAGGTGAGAGGACTGCCTGAGGCCAGGGGTTCGAGACCAGCCTGGGCAACTTGGTGAGACCTTGTCTCCCAATAAATCAAAAAATTAGCTGGGCATGGTAGAGCATGTCTGTGGTTCCAGCTACTTGGAAGGCTGAGGCGGAAGGATCACCTGAGCACTGCAGGTCAAGGCTGCAGTGGCCGTGAGTATGCCACTGCTCTCCAGCCTGGGCAACAAAGTGTGACTCTGACTAAAAAAAAAAAAAAAAAAAAAGGCACAAAGCTAACCTATAGCTAACCTATAGCTAACGCTATACTTTTATCATATTTACAATTGCTACGGGGATTTGAAAAACGCTGAAGCAAGAAACACTACTATGCAAAATTTAGTTGAGGGTAAGATAACATAAGGCTTCAGGTTTAGGTGAATTTACTATTGAAAATCTTAAGTTTAAATTAATCACCACATTCAATGTAGCCAATAGTCATGACGCCCCTGAGTTTCATTCAGATGTTCTATGACTCTCTTTACCACTTGAACAGGGTTAGATGTCATATGCCACATTGATTTGAAACAAACAAAAAATGCACACGTGGCTATCCATCCTCCATCCTGAAGGTACCTTCCAAATCCTAACACTTAGCAGTGTTCACTTTTCAAACAAACAAACCCAGCGGAATACCTTTGCAGCTTCCACCATGCGAGCGGTAGAGTCGGCCAAGAGTTTTGCTGCCGCCAAGAGCTTCTTTGAATTCTCCATGTCGATTTCAGCTTCTGCATCTGACCTCATGGCGTTGACGAGGTCTGATGTGGCCTGGGCCAGGACCCGGGCCTGCCGCACCATTTCACCTGGAGGACAGGACGGAGGATGTGGTCTGTTTGTCTGTTTCCAAGGTTGGGTAAAACCTCAGAAGCCAGCACTGTTTCTACTTCTTGTTTCTACCTCTCTGGCAAGTGGGAGGAGAAAACAGAACCCCTAAGCAAGGTACTCGAATTAGACTCCCAACTGAAGATATTCCCTGTGGCTGCCAAAACAGGACTCCCCACACACATTCAAGTTCAACCACTGACCATGAGGGAGAAATATGACACAAGTAGCCAAAGAGAAGCACTGTATAAAGAGCAGGCAGGGAATACGATTAGGTGAATTAAGCCTTAGTGAGTACTTCTTTAGAGAACACTGTTTACCTTACTTTAAGAACTGCTTGCACAAAAGTGTCTAAAACAAACTCTTTGAGGAATAGGCAGAGAATAAAATTATTTTAAGATTTTGGACGAATTTGCATGCTACCTAACACCAGATGAGGGATGTAATGCAACCCATTCTATCTGCACCACTTGGCCCTGGTTAATGGAAGTTCTCAAATGCCAGATGTGCCTTGGCTGCAGTTCTCCCTGCCAATTCTCTCTTCGCTCCTTTTTTCTTTCTAGTACTGATATTGACCTTGTGTTATTGTTTGGTCTTATTGTGCCTGTGAGCTTACTGAAATCTATGTCAATTTCCTTCTGAAAGTGGGGGTGGGGGCATAATAAGCAACATTAAGTGTAAAACAAGCCAGGCCATAGTGGCTGACTCCCCTAATCCCAGCTATTCAAGGAGGCTGAGGCAGGAAAAACACTTGAGCCCAGGAGGTTGAGGCTGCAGTGAGCTATGATGGTGTCACTGCACTCCAGTCTGGGTGATAGAGAAAGATCCCATCTCTAAAAAGCAAAACAAAAACAACTCAACTGTAAGGGATTTCTTCCCCTCCCAAAGGTCATTTGAGAAGAATGCTGAAGTACTGTAACATTAAGGAGGAAGAAAAAAGCTCTTATAAAAATAAAAAATGACCTAAATTCAGTGTAGTATCCTGGACTGGATACTGGCACAGCAAAAGAACACAGGCTGAAAAACTGATGAAATCCAAAAGTCTTGAGTTAGTAACGTACCAATGTTAAATTTCCTAGTTTTGGCAAACGTGCTATGCTTTAGGGAAGATGTTAAAAATGGGAAAGGTATATGGGAACTCCGTGTTACCTCTGTTACCTCTGCCACTTTTTTGTAAATCTAAAAGTGTTTTAAAATAAAAGGATTATTTAAAAACAAACCAACAACAACAAAAAAAGAAAATACAAATGTGTAGAACATTCCTATCTTGCTAAATCATGTAAGAAGGATTTAGAAGAACACAAGGTAATTTCTAAAAAAGATTTTTTAAAAAAGAATTCTATATAAGGTATTCTTCTGGAGTCGCAAGGAAGTAAGAAAACAGACCTCTTACAAACTACTGGGAGGGTTGTAAATTGTGAGTCCTTTCTGGAGAGAAATTTTAGACATGTTTAAAATAAAAAATGAACATACCTACTGGCCCAGCAATTCCTTTGGTAGGATTTATTCTACATACATATTCCTAAAAGTAAACTTTTTTACAAGAATGCTTATTGTAGTATCATTTTTGTAAATGCAAAACAAACCCACAAAAAAACCTTAGTAACCATCTCAATAGCCATCAAAAGATAATTGGTTAAATTAAGATGCCTCCAAAAAACAGAATACTAGGCAGCCAATAAAAAGATTAATATATAGGTGGACACAGAGGAAGCCTCTAAGATATATATTGGGTGAAAAAGGTAGTAGATTCTGGGGATTTTGATGGCATAGTGGGCTGGATCTGGGGAAACTTACCTTTTAACAGACTGAAAAAAGTGTACTGCACACATTTTAAAGTTTACTATATATTCTGTATGATGTTGTGGCTGGGAGAGACTGCCCCTCTGGGGTCTAGTCAATTCTTAGAAACCGCAAAGGGCTCAGCAGAGAGCAAGTCTTTGATATGCAAACCAACCAACCCAGGGCTACCCCTGCTCTATCTGGCCCAGACGCCCAGAAGACACTACTCCTCTCTGCCTTGACCTTCCAAGGGCCAGGACCCAGGTAAGGAGCCATCACCTCTATAACCCAGAGTCTGCCGACATTATTTAAAGGAGCCAGTCCAAATTGTTTCCTCTGCTCTGTCTTGCACTTCCCAAGGAAACTCTAATAATGGCCAGGGCTGTCTAGGCCCACCCCTCACTCTCGTCTTCTGCCTCCTGACCACCCTGATGTTTTTTCTCCTGTGACCCAGTGACATGTAGTGACCCCTCCAGGGGACCTGTAAGCATAACACACTTCTTCACTCCAGGCCTTGTTCCTGTTTCCTTCTGTGGAGGCTCCAGCTTTACCACACCATGTATGATGACTGCGTACCCAATTAGTATGACTCTAAATTATAATAAAAACCTGGCCAGAGGGCAATCCTCTCAGGTCCCCTCCCACTGTGGGAGATTTACTGTCCTCTCAATAAATCCTGTTTTCTCACTTAAAAGCAAAATCAAAAAAACTGGCTAGCTTTGCTGACATCTCCAGGCACAGTTACACAAGAACCCGTCAGGGTTCTGGTCCTTCTTTCCAGCCTCGGTGAGGAAGCCTCTGACTGAAGTGGATGAGAATTTGTCCTCCCCTGTCACGAAGGCAACCCCAGCTTCCCTGCGGGTGACCACCACAGGCGGGAGCCCCAAGCCCACCCCGCCCCAGCCTAGCGCCTCACCAGCATCGCCCATGGAGCTGAAGATGCTCTCGGTGACACACATGATAGTGTCAGTGGCCTGGTCGTATCGCCCGATGGGCTCGCCTCGGCTGGCGAGCTGCCGCACGTGCTGCAGGAGATCATGCAGGGCCTGGCTGACCGCACTGGCCGCCGCGCTGACTTGTTTCAGGAGCTCCCCATCGGTTGTGGCGGCCTGGCAGGCACGCACGCAGTTCTCCACCGAGCGGTCCACCAGTTTCCCCGCCTCAATCAGCTGCTCCTGGCACACGGGGGAGCTGAGGGTAGGGCTCACCACCTGAAGCAAGAAATGGGCAGGTCAGGGACAAGACAGGGATTCCGCCTCACGGTCGCTTAGGAAACAGAGGGCTCTGCAGGTTGCTTGTGGGTCCTAGCAGGCTGGACACAGAAAGGAGGAGAACGGCTGCTGCAAATCCTGCCACGGGAGGTCAATGTCAGGCTGAGCCAGCTCACAGACCGCCACAATGGGACACGACATCAAGCCCAGATGGGGTACTTCTTGTCTCCCGACTCAGCATCACTGAGGAGACACATGAGGTGGAGTGGGAAGGCCAGCAGACAGGCCTGAGAAATAGCTCCAGTTCTGCCACTTAACACTTCTCTGGTTCTAAGCTACTCACTAGCATTTAGGAGCCTCAGGTGCCTCATCAGTAAACTAGAGATAGCAAGGCTTAATTTGCAGCATTGCTGGGGAGACTTAATGAAGTGATGCATGAAAGGCACAGTGTGTACAACCCTCTTGACAATTAACATCCTCCCTTGGACATTGTGCAGTACAGAAAGGGCTCGCTTGAACTTTGCAGAGTAGTTCTGGACCCGCTGATAACGCTGTACTACACAATGCAAGAACCGCTTTTGTGCAGGTGTAAATAAGATGCAGTGAGAAGTCCAAAGGGGAGACACAGCAATCTGCACAAGGAAATGACTGGTGAAAAATACCAGCTGCCTAAGGAATTGAGCAAAGAATAGTAACCCAAATTAGACAGCTATGCTAAAATCTTATCATGTCACCTAAAAGAAGATACCTAAAGCAAGCTCTGAGTCTGAGACTATTTGAACAAAATCTTCCTCCACTTCCTCCAAATGCCTGGAGGCAGACGGGAGCACATGACACTGTGTAGAAAGAACTAGGGCAGCAGTTGGCTTACCTTGGCACATGCCACAAGCTGGGAGGTGGAAAGGGCGCACTGGGTAGCAGCAGCGATCACCCTGTTCTGTAGGACGGTGTCTTCAGCCACTTGGGCAACATTTTTTGCCTTTAGAACCAACATGGCAGCAGCATTGGCAACAGCTTTGGCCAAACTCATTAAAACATCCTAAGAAAAGGGAATCAGAGACCATTCATTTCTTTTTTTCTAATCGCCCATCACAGTCTGAAAATAAACATGTTATTAAAATTCCATCTGACGTTTCTCCTTCTGCACTTTAGAATATTTTTTCCACTTATTTTTTGAAATGTCAACTTATCCTTAGAGGTAATTAAGGAAGACTTGCATCCTAAAAACGCAGTCTTTTACACATCCACCAAGGAGCGTAGGTTTAAATCTAAAATAGGTTAATGTGAGGGAAGGTTTTTCTATTTCAACCACAGATTCACACTCAAGCACTTATCCAACATGGAGTCTTGACCACAACTCTTGGCTATGTGGTCAGTATGATAGATCGGGAGACACTGGAAACAGATCCAGACGCTGCAAACATCAAGTACTACAGGAAGGTTAGAATTCATGGCCTCCAAGTCATCAGGCCCCAGTGTCACTTGAAAATGTATCTTTTGGATTTCTACTTTGGCAAAGATCCAAATTATCATCAAAAGCTTAGCCACATCTCGGCTTGGCTCAGTGGCTCAGGACTTTGGCTGAGGCGAGTGGACTGCCTGAGTCTGCAGGTTCGAGACCAGCTGGGGCAACTTGGGGAGACCTCGTCTCTACAATAAATCAAAAATTAGCCAGTCATGGTAGCACACGCTTGTAGTTCTGGCTACTTGGAAGGCTGAGGCGGAAGGATTGCTGGAGCCCAGCAGGTTGAGACTGTGGTGGCCAGGAGAATGCCACTGCATTCCAGCCTGGGCAGCAGAGTGAGACTCCAACTCAAAAAAAAAAAAAAAAAAAGGCAAAAAAAAGAGAGAAAAGCTTAGCCACATCTCTACCTCCAGAGGGCAACATTAGACATTCAGACACATGGTTGGCACTAACACCTCCGGCTCGCCAGCAGAGGAATGCTCTGAACATCTTCTGTAGCCTTCCAGATAGGAATGAAACTATGATGGCAACAAGCTACCAAACAATCTGAATGAAGATTGAAGGAGCTCAGAGCCTTCAAGATCAGCCGTTGCTTTAACTCAAGGAGAAGACATTCTGCCTGCAGAATGAAGACCCCTTTGGTTTAGCCCACCAGCTTTGTCACCCATCTGTGTGACCCAAGAATAACAGTTACATTTACTTCTTTGCTTTTAATATTAAAAGTAGTTTGATTTGGAAATGCCTTCCCAAACATAGGAGCCATTTTTATTCTGAACAACACGTCAAGACTTTTCCCTCAGAGGAAATGTGGTCAGAAGTCTTTATTAATTCATCAGATAATAAAAAGCACTTTTGATTCTAATGCAAAGGGTACCCACGGAGGCCTTACAATGAGATATTTTATGAGAAGATCTACTGGAAAGAACGTTCAGCCTGATAATTTTATACAGAGCAGACTACATATATGCAATCCAGGCAAATCAGAAACCCATGAACCCACCAAGCAAGCTGATTTTAAAACAGACAAAACCAGTCAATATCTGTCTGGGATGGAGGGGCACACCTCATCAACAAGGGTACCTGCACAATGCATATTTGTATACCTAACCCTTAACTGTACCCCACAATTTTAAAATAAAAAATATGTTTAAAAAAAAAAACAGACAAAACCTAAGAGGCCTTAAGGAACAGGTCAGTCCAGTCTCATTGAGGTCTGTGATGTTTCCTAGATATTCAAGGAAAAATTAAAACCAGTGGCACAGCCGAAGAACTTTTAGGAATTGCTCCTAGCATGGCAACGTTACAGTTCCTGGACATATCTCTCAATGCTCAGTGAAAACACAGCTTGAATGTCACAAATTATTTAAAAGACTTTTAAAAATAACTTCCCAAAGTAGGTCATAGTATTCCTTCACTTGATATGCATTCATCTTCTCACATAGGAGCTAGAATTTGGTTCTACAGAATCATGATGGTTCTAAAGGGCTTTGTTAGAATCATTTCAAGAAATGCTGTTCCTCCTATTAATTTTGCTCCCCTCCCTCCAAAAAATGCAGTTAGAAAAAGAACGTGATACGACAGCTATAGTTGCTGACAAGGCCTTTGTCAAAATTTTCAACAAGACCACTATTATGCATCCTATGTAAAATAAATCTTTGTTCACTCTGGGAACGTGCAGCACATTAAGAACCCAAGAAAAGCTCTGAGATGGGATCTCAAGAATCAGCAAAAGAGGGTAAGAAATCCAGTGCCAGTTACCCACAACTGGAGGAGGCTGCAGAATTGCCTTGTTGCACTGGTCTCTGTCTACAGACCTTACGCAAGTGAAAACATGTAAGTCAGCCCTTCCGTTGGCAACAAAGACTCAGCAGGACTGTCAGCCTGAACCTGAGCCCGCTTGCCCAGTGGGGATGAACAGAAACAAACATTAGGAAGCGGAGTTTGCATTCAAATGCAATAAAAGCAATCTGTCAAATGGGGACACAAAAAAAAAAAAAATATATATATATATATATATATATAAAGCTTTTGAAGATAAAATGAGGCAGAGATGTCTTAAAGAATTGTGACTTTCTCCTCAACCTTTCTTAACACTTTGGGGAAAACAATAACATTCGTAAGGAAACTAAACTAACCACTTCAAGATAATTTAGCCCAGTTAACCAGCAGTTGAATCTCATATTTGCCAAATTCCTATATAGTTACCTGCCTACAAAGAATTATCTGCCCTGATACAAAAACTAAAGGCAATGCAAGGACAGTCTGGGGATCAGGAAGGGGAAGTTGGGATGGAGACACAAGGAGCTTGGGTTTAGTGGGATCTATTTATGAGGTCTGCAGTTAATTCTGGGTCTAGTATAGTTATCAGTGGCCATATCAGTGTAGAAATGGCTCTGAGGACTAGTCCTTACCTCCCACTGTAGGGATTCATCCTCTATCATGGCAGGAGTGTTTGTGCACTGAGTGTCTTATTGCCCTGCAGGGCATAAGTGAGTCCTATGGCCCCAGTGCCACAGGCACATGGAGGGTGAGGGCAAACAAACACATCTACGGCGCAAGTTTCACGTCTCACGACATATAGGATCACATCTTAGTGTATCTGACACATCTTGTTTGTGCTGATGAAGTTTGGTACGTCTAGATAAAATGGCATGCAAAATTGCCATTCAGGAAGTGAGACACCTATATGCCAGAGGAAAGCTGGATGACCTTTTTGCTCTTGCTCTATAAAATATCACAAAATCAGTGCCCAATGAACGATGTCAAAGAGGATGCAGCCACGAGTGCAGGAAGAAAGGTATTTAGGGGTGTCAGGTAGTTAATAAAAATATTATTTTCCTGGATTTGGTAGTATCTGTGGTATTAGTTCTTATAAGTTGATAACTTACTGTGATTTCTTCTCTCTAAAGTATTTAGCAACATATATATACAAAAATCAACAATTTAGAAAAAAATTAATGAGTAAAGGCCAATGAAATTCTGCAGAATTCCCAGTGAACTTGGACACAGAATCTGGCAAAGGATATCCTCCAGGGAAGTAAAGTGTTAGAACCACAACACTTTACTTGGGCTGTATTTATATATAACTTGCAAAACTACACCCATAAGAGGAGGATTAAAGGGCATCAGCCCACAAGCACAAGAGGAGAGAGACGTCCTGGCCTGAACTGCTCAGCCACGGCCTCTGCTCCCTCCCCACACCCCGTGGTGGTGCTGGGAATGGAGGCAGACAAGTGGAGATGCCATCCTAGCCGAGGTGTGGTGATGCTGCAGACAGTGGCTACAGCTGCTCCCCAGAGGACAGACAGCACATGTCCCCGGTACCAAGAAAGAACAGTCATGAGAGACTTCTCTGCCATACTTGTGGTTTCTGGTAAGACAGAAAATAAAACTACCTCTGAATTCACAGCAGCACCTACAATGTGCATGTACATGCAGGTGTGTCGGGGCATACATACATTTTCATCCCTATATGAAGACTCAAGAACGGTGCCATTAAAAACTGCCCCCAGCTTGACAAACAGGACTAGCCAGGAGATGATGATTATAGAGGTTGGGTGGGGAACATGAGGGAGCTTGTGACTATTTTCTCCACTGTGGAGTTTACATCATGTCCAGCATATTGACAAATAATCAGAAGGGCAAAATAAGTGCTTTACTGGGATGATGCAGTTTTTCCACCAAAAAATAATCTTTTAAAAATGAACACAAAAAGACCCCACTCCCAAGACAATCCACCTCCATCTTATTCTTTCCAGCTCAAGGAAGATTTGCTTTGTTTTCCAACACCGTCTCCCTGCTGGGGTCCAGACCATCACCTGACTCCTTCCCAAGGTTGTAAGGCTGCAAGTATCTTACCTGAAAGCGCTCATCAGTCTCATTCTCCCCAATCTGTCTCAGAAGATCCCCACTGGCTTGTCCAATGCTTCCAGCAGCAGTCAAAACCGTCTGCCGAGGCTGCGAACAAAGAACACAGCTTGACTGGAAGGAAAATGCTTTTCCTCTTTCAAACAGGGCAGTCCAGGAAGAGAAAACTCACTGGACTGGCTCCTTTGTACGTAAAATGAGAGCCTCAGGTATGAATGTCCTGGTGAGATCCCTGCAAGGAAACATCCAAAGTCTCACAAACCAGCAATGGGTGGATGGATTTGAAATGTCCAGTTAGTGACCCTCATTCATTCAACTGGTAAGAAGGCAAGGTGCGCTCTATGGAAATTAGGGTGCTAACTTATATTCTCTTTAAGTGTACATTAGTGCTGGGTGCAGTGGCTCATACCTATCATTCCAGCACTTTGGGAGGCTGAGGTGAGAAGATTGCCTGAGCCCACGGGTTCGAGACCAGCCTGGGCAACTTGGTGAGACCTCGTCTCTACAGTAAATCAAAAAATTAGCTGAGTGTGGTGGCCCATGCCTGTAGTTCCAGCTACTTGGAAGACTGAGGCAGAAGGATCATCTGAGCCCAGCAGGTTGAGGCTGTGGCGGCCAGGAGTGTGCCTCTACACTCCAGCCTGGGCGACAGAGTGAGACTTCAACTCAAAAATAAACAAATACATACATAAACAAACAAACAAATAAAATGTGTATTAGCCATGAGTGCTAAGTTCCTGGGGTTGTGTCTAATCAAGCACCCTTGAAGGGAGGCCCAGCCACTCCCCGAGGCAGAACAATAGCTTCTGCAACCAGTTAACAACTCCTAGTACTACTATGTAGAAACATACCCACCCAGGAAGGAAGGAACAGAGCAGGAAGCAAGAGCCCCGTGGTCCCTCCAAAGGATGCAGCTGCCTCCCCAGCACCCAAGGGACTCCTCACCTCTCCAGAAGTGGGCTGGACAGCTTTCAGCAAGTCTGACACTGCCCCAGCAAGGGTCCTGGCAGCTCTGAGTAAGTCCTCCCCGCTGCCCACCTCATCGTCCATGAGGGCCGCCAACAGTTTCACACCCTTGGACATCTCCGTCAGGTTGGAAGAAATCGTGGTGATAGCACACCCCACAGCAGTATAGTCTGTGTCTGCTGGGTCACCTGGGATAGAGAAGCACCATCACCATGAGAGGAGGTGGGGATGCTGAGGAGAGCCCAGGCTTGCAGAGGGATGTGGTCCTGGGGAGAATTTTCAAAACTCCACATGGGCAGGAGTTCCTCTCCCACTGTCCTACAGGAGCCAGACACAAATTGCCACTTGCGCACAGGGAGAAGGCTGCCTCCAAGGTGGCTTCAGAAAGGTCTTTTCACCTGGAGGTCTCATGCACTGATGTACAGAGCACCAGCACCCTTAAAATTCTAAAGAAAGTCTCAGCATCTCATAGTACCCCTGTCAGCAAGGCAAGGTCAGGCGAGTTCCTGGCTGTCCCTTGATAGCATGAGCCTGGGAGAGTCAAGCCACACCAGAAGAGAGCACTGTTGGGCGGGGTGGGCAGAGGCACAGGGGATGGGTCTGTTCCTTCAAAACCGCTCTCAGCCAGGCTCGGTGGCTCAGCCTGTAATCCTGCGCCTTTGGGAGGCTGAGGTGAGTGGACTGCTGAGCCCGTGGGTTCGAGACCCGCCTGGGCAACTTGGCGAGACCTCATCGTTACAATAAATCAAAAATTAACCGGGCGTAGTAGCGCACGCCTGTAGTTCCAGCTACTTGGAAGGCTGACACGGAAGGATTGCCGACGCCCAGCAAGTCGAGGCTGCGGTGGCTGGGAGCAGCCACTGCACTCCAGTCTGGGCGACAGAGTGAGACTCCAACTCAAAAAAAACCAAAACAACAAACAAACAAACAAAAAAAAACCACTCTCAGACTGTAAGCTCCAAGAAGGGAGAAACTAGCCTCGACAGACTTTGAAGTACATTCAGCACGTTCACGAACAATGAGAAGAGCTAACTTGGTGTTTTTTAGTGATGAAACATGTTACAGACAAAAAAGAATGAGACGTCCCTTCCATTTCTCCTGGGTCATTGGGAGAAAATAAGTGCTGTAAGGGCCAAAAGAGACTTTCCTCATAATGTGAACGACTGTTGTTTCAATCAACAAATAAAAACTCATTTTTTTATTTAAATTTTTTTTTTAACAAAACCATAGCTCTCAGGGACTTACCAGCCGTGAGGTTAACAACTGAAGCTGTTCCAGCCGTGATAGCATCGACTTGAGAATGGATTTCATGTTTGGATTCGTCAACTTTGTTCTGAACCCATACCCTAGATGCCTGCAAAACCAGACAACAGCATGATATGATCACAGCACAGAATCACCCAGGAGGCCAGAGAAGACCTGCCATAAAATAAGACCAGCATTTTGGCTACCCTCTTCTTATGGAGCTGGTGCTGACAGTGCTTAAGTCATCTTAAGCATTATCCTTAGCAGAATGTTTGCTCCTTCAGAGATGCAGAATGGCTTGTGCATCCTCCCTGTGTCTTACACTAACTATAATGCTTTTGCTTTCAATTTTTAAGATCTTAGGGAGAAAAATTTGATGCCCCTTTACTCAACTAAATTTAATTTTAAAAGAATGAGGAGAGAAAAAAATCAATGTCTCATAATAATACTGCACATCAGCACTAACACTTGTCTTGCTTTTTAGGGAGCAGTGTTAGAATTAGGGTGCTTCAGCTTACAAGTGCTCTTTGTCAATGCAGGAAGTGTGTCTCGTTGACATGTATCCCCCTAAAGACAATTGAGTGGCATACTCATGGCAAGATAGGGGGATGGGTCAAGACCTCTGGTTTTGGATCCAGATCTACCATTAACAGGCAAATTCTTCGTAGGTCCTGTGCCTTACATTCCTTCCACTGTAGAAATTTAACAGCTTTTAAAAACCTTTCCATTTCTTATACTTTATGCTTATTTGGTCCTATAAATAGCAAATTCTCTTATTTTCTGGCATTTCAGAACTTAGTTGATAAGCGATCATTGATCTTGATAAGGATGACCCTGCAGAAAGGTGCCGATCTGTTTCCTAAAACATCCCAAATGGGGAGGGGGCACATTACATCAACAAGGATACCCACACTTTACCTATTTGATGACCACTTATGTGATAAGTTGATAACCCTGAATTGCACCCCACATTTTTAGAATAAAAAAATAAGAGAAAAAAAACCCCCAAAATATTAATCTAGGTTCAGGGTGTGTCTTGCACTAAAAATATTTCATTGCATTCTAAGTCCTTGAAAATGGGTGAAGCAGGAATGATAAATCTAAATATTTAAAAACTCTACCTCACAATTATACTGGATATGGGAGTCTGCTATATCTATTTCCACTCTGAAGTTCCCCAGAGCAAAATGTTTAATGCTTCTGGGTACTTGGGAGAAACAACACTGAAGATACTAGCAACCTCCATGCACACAAGTGTGCAAATGAAAATCTCAGCATTCAGGGAGAGCAGTTGTCCCGGCCGCACAAGACTGGATCTTGGTCCTGGCCTGTGATGGCACTGTGATGAAAGGGGACATGAAGAAGCTGAGCACTTGGCTAGAACGCAGATTCTGATCAGTAGCTTGGGGTAAGGTCCAAGATTCTGCACCTCTGACAAGATTTTGAGTATTGCCATGCTGCTGGCTCAGGGCTTGGAATTCGAGCAGTGAGGAGTTGGATGATTTCATGCAGCAATAGTAGGAAGGTCTCTGGACCAATCACCCTGCCCTGCTGAAAAACTCCATAGTAGGAATCGAGTGGGTCTCCAAGCACAGTCCCCAGACTAGCAGGATGTGCATCACCTGAGCTCTAGTTGAAAACACATATTCTCAGGTCCCACCCCAGGCTTACTGAGGCAAAAAATGGGAGGGGGCAAACAACACATGTTTTAACAAGTCCTCCAGGTGATTCTGATGCCTGCTACAGCTTGAGAACATTAGCAGCAATCACAAAATCAGTTAATGTTTATTGAGCTCTTACTATGTGCCAGGTACGCCACTAAAAATCCTGCAAGTGATTAGCTCATTGCATCTTCACAATAACCCTATTTACAGACAACAAAGTAGAGGCTTAAAGAGTACTGGTGCTGGGATTGAACCCAGATCACATGACACTAGGATCTTAGTCCTTAGCTCTTCCATGGTTCTGCCAGTAGCACCCTGTGATTCTCTCCTGTGGATGCAACTGAGAGCCAAGGAGCCAATAATCTTGAAAAACACATGGGTTTCCACATCACCTAGCTGGAGGCAGAGATTCATCTGGTTGAAAACAGATAGAATGCATAACTCTGTTTTCAGCCAGGGCTGAGACATGGAATAAAAACTCCCAAACAATATTTACCATATCCTGGCCGAGAGGCGGCAGTGAGTCGAGCTCGCTGAGGTCATCCTGGGCCTGCTGGACAGCGTGCATGCTTGTGTTGATGGTCCCCATAAGGGCCTGCTGGGCTGAGGTCTGCAAAGGCAGATGAGCACAAGGCAGTCATACCACATTCCTGGGGCGTACATGGCCCTTTATGCAAAACGAAGCAAAACAGAACTCTGAACTCAAGATAAGCAGCCAGGCTACGTCTTAACAAGTGCCTGAACCAACTCCCATTTCAACCTGAAGGCCAGAAATAGATACTGCATGATATTAATAGAATACAAAATGAAGGTGATTGCAATAGACAGATTATAATCAGAAGCATGTAGACAGCTTCATTAGCTGACAAGAAGACTCAGGAGAGTCCTTGCAGGGGACTAAAGAGATCTGATCCTTGAGTACTGAGGACCAAAGACCTTGTACACAGGAAACAAACGAGTGTTAAAACAAGGCTGTTTCATGATAAATACTTGAGGATTCTACCCAAACCTATAGTTAACATGCTTTTTCAGCTTTGAGACTCAGGCTTTCAAAAAGTCTTCCCCAATAAAGTAAGGAGTTCCAAGGCAAGCCCGAGAAAGGCACTGAGTCAGGCCAGTGCAGCAGAAAGGAATCCAAGACCCCAGGGGTGAAATGTCAGGACCACTACAGATCTGTCTACTTCTCAGACTCTTCAAGGGTATCTGGACCAAACAGCTCGATGGTGTTAGGACAGGGGAACCAGAGTCTGTATTTATCACACAGTCACACTGACAGGTCCCTAGCTCTCCAGCCCTAGAGGACACCTCTGAGCCCAGGCAGACAGTGGTCAAAATCATCTAATTAAAAGAATGCACAGCTGAAGGAGCCATGGTTCAGACGGGAGCCAGAGTGAGTTCCCACACAGTTCATCACCGCCACTGGTGCCCCTGCACACTGGAAGCAGCATACGAAGAGCAGGAAACAAGCACTTTGGGAAGCCTCACCAGGGGCGGCATGTGGCCTCGGTGCATCTGCCCCACCAGGACCTGCTGCTGTGGCGAGGGCATGCTGCCAACGTTGAAGGTCTCAGGCCCACTGGAGCCTGAGCGCATCACAGCGGGCAGTGCCACCGAACCGTGCTCGGCCTTCCCGGTCCGGTTGAACTGCTGCTGCAGGATGGTGGACCTGTGGGAAAGGCGGTAAGGTCATCGCGGGAGCCGCCCGCGTGGAGAGCAATGAGGATGTGCCGCAGACGTCACGTACATTCCCCGCTTTATGCTGTGGAGGTCCATGGAAAGAGGCATGTACGGACAGAGGACTGGGAAGGAAGACACAGTCCCACGCTGCCCCAGAGAAGAATCCTGAGATGAACCCTTTGACAACCAGTAATGTAAGTGAAGCCTCCCAGTGGACCATTTAACGTGGGGATGGTATTATGCAATTAGCTATTCCTATAAAGAAACAAGATATTCCTGTAACAATGATGTTCCTGGCTTACGTGAAGGCTTTGGATACACTGATCTATTATTTGGTAAATCATCCCTGAAGGGACATTCACTCAACAAGTATCTACCTTGTGTAGGCTCCACTCTGGGCCTCAGAGATACAGGTCATTAATCCTTAGCTTGAAGGGAGAAATGTGGACATGAACCTAAGAAAAATCTCCCACAGTTTTGATACCCGCCCCAGGCACAAGGCCATTGACCATGGAGCATGTTTAACCACCTCTGGGGCTGGATGATGCAACAAACTTGGGCACCTTTTCCACATGTTGTCTAAGCTAAAGTCTGGGAAGATGCTTAAGGGTGTCTAACAAAAAACATATTTTTTTTTACAACTTGATATTTTCTTAGAATGAATGGTTAAGTGCCAAGGATCTTGATCATCTGAGGGCAGCATATCTTCGGCAGAAGCCACAGGGAGGGTCTAGGGGAGTCTATGTGTGTGTGTTGATGTGGGGAAGGGGTGCAGCTGATTAAGAGGAAGGGGTCTCTGTCCCAGAGCTCTTAAACCAACACAGATCATTCTCTGTTACCCAGGAAGGCTTGACAGCCATGCTAGGATCCCAAGCAACAGACACTCGTGGAGAAATATTGTCTGGGGGTGGGGTGG